TATAATGGAGACATTTCTGAATCATTTATAACATTGCGTCATGCAGTCACATGTCAGTCCATGTTTGGAGGTCAAGGTTTCCAGAAATGCTCCTGCAGGCCTGCCAGAAATCAATGTCACACCAAAAGGTGTGCATGTTATAAGAATAATGTTCTCTGCACTTCAAAATGTCATCAAAGTATATCATGCATCAACAAATGATAGATATCTCAAAAAATATTTGACTTTCCTTTAATATTCAATACAAAGTTTATTTTCAACTGATTAAGTCTGTTGTTAGTCTGATTGAGGAACACTTTTTAAGTAGGTACCTATTTAATGTTTATAAACATTTTTTAATTTAATTTCTCTTTCTGCATGGCGGTTGTCGGGTTGTATTACCTATTTCTAAAGATTTTTTAGGTATTTAAATGTTACGAACGTTTGGTTTGTTATCTTATTTTATTACCAAAGGGCTGTGATTGAATGTGCCATTTTTAGAATTTTTTGACGATGTTATTAATGTTTGTCATATTTAATAACAAATAATAGGTAACTATTCTTTGAAAAACTATTTGACGTTCCTATTAATATAAGTTTGTTTTCAACTGATTAATGAGTCTGATTATTTAGTTACACTTTATTATTTAAATAACTCATTTTTAATGTTATTCATTATTTTTTAACATTTTCATTTAATTCTAGCTGTTGCTCGTACGTGCCGTTTTCTACGTGATGGCTGTGTTAACATTTTATTAAACCTTACTGTTTATATACATATTTTATTTGCCTCAAATAGGCGTTTTGTTATTTTCTCTCCAAAGAACTGTGATTCTATGTGCCACATTTGGAATTTTAAAAAATAATGTTAAGTTAGAGCTTCATAACAATAATTATTTTCAATTTTAATAAACATTTTAATTCTTAACTTTATTTTTATTTGCTAAAACCTTGGACACCCTACATAATCGATATGCCTAAAGTATCTCTGGCCAAATCGCCAAACGTTAAGTGTTGAACGATATGCCCTGTGTTGGATGGCCAGATCATGATGTGCCGGAGTATCACGTTCTGCCTGGGCATATCTCGATCTGGCCAATCTAACGATAAGCCCACGACATATATATATTTATAAAATTAAATAAGGCTTTATTAAGAAAGTGGAATGGGTTAAGTCGATTTAGAAAAAGCCTTGAGCCACTATCTCTCGAGTGAGCTCGCGCGTAGTGATAATTATCGCATTTTAGGCAACGGAACGGTGAAAGTGTTCGTGTTTTTGAGAAAGGAAAAGTAGTTTATTTTTATAGCAAGAGGCCATTCCCCCTCCCCCGACCGTGCCTACCCCGCGCCGGTCAACTGGTCCCGTATGAAAGTGAGAGCTATCACAGCTTTCGTTGAGGCTGAAGCGTTCGTGACATACCACATTTCACATTATTAAGCTAAGACGAGATATTATATCTATCTCTTACTCTCCGTAATTATAATAATGTAAGGCATTGTGATTCTCAAAACTTAAAGTATTTTCACTTGGATTTCTCTACGCCGTCACCTTTTATGTTATACCTGAAATATAACCTCTTCGTTTTCCTTTATTAAATATCTTCTTGAGCCGCAAGATGAACACTTTGTTGTCTTCATTATTTAAAAAAAGTAAACACATCAGATTACAGTTTTAACTGATCTGGGAATACGTTGAATATAAACCACAGTAATATACAGATACTTTTTTGGATATTTAAAGTAAAAGGTTTGCGGGTACGTCGTCATTTATTGCAGGATAATCGCATTTATTTTATTTGTTTTATGCACTATTTATACTTTAATCAACGAACGAAACGTTCACATTCAAATAGAATACAGTTTTTGCGAAATATATTGACCTTCATGAATTGTTTTTCTCTGTAAATAAATACATTCGACATTCAAACATCACTCCGGTCGGAAACAGAGCATTTCTTTTTGAAGTAGGTTATAAAATAGTATTATTAATGTCTATGAGTTTTATTAATCAGCATTAGTTGCCAAAAATCGGTTGAAATCGTGTCATTACCACTTCAATATCGTGCCCCGTGGGTTATCATTATCTTAGCATAGTGTCTATATTTCCTGCCTGATATAGTCAATATTTTTTATACGTAGAATGTTATGCAGAACACTGCAGCCGAGATATGTGAGAAATTTAACTTTCTTACATATATAGTAAATATTTTTTTTATATGATACGGGATCAAACCACCCTGTGAAGAGGCCATAAAAGGCATGATACAGCCATACCAATGTGGGTGCGTTGCCGGCCTTTAATAGAGGAGTATGCTCTTTTTTTAATTTGGAGGTCGTATCTCCCAAGAAAGACCACAAGTTGAAGTCGATACCACAGCTTGCCGTTTCGCCTGTGGAAGGCTTTTAAACTTTTCCCAGCATAGTTTCAATTTCAAAAACAAGTTTGCTCATCGAGAGCAAATCTGGAGCATGTCTCCTACATATTCCAGTGGCTGGAATATTGTCGACGGTGTTCGTCTACATAGCAATGGATGATATAGATGTTCAACAAGTCATTCTCAAACTCAAAATATCTTTTTTCATATACCTATACGAATAAAGATATTTTGAGTACACTTCTGAACGTCAAAAAAGATATTAAATTAATTGTAAATTTACATTTACTACTAGTTCGCAAACTAAGGGCGTAGAGCGGGCAAGGAACTTTCCACCACTCTTTTTAATTGCTAAGTTCTGAGTCATTGATATGGAGAATAAATGGGTAGGCTAGAGGAAGCAACTCTGCATTGTCGTGGTTAGGAAGCAAGCAGATCCGTCACCGAGGACTATAATGCTACGCCCTACAGGGAAATTCGACAGCCGATGCATAATCCATCAGATAAACCGAATAACGGTAATTACGATAGAAGTGGTCCATGCCAAACTCTATCAAAAGCCTTGGCTATTTAGGCCTATCCCTCACTTTCAACAGCTTCAACCAATGTGTTTCATACATTCTGTCGGTTTGTTCCAATTTTAGTCTCGCAACTTCTCGCTTAAGGGTTCCGGAAGTCACGTTACGTTTCATTTTTATGTAGAGCAAAATGCTTAAGACAGGAATTATCTGCATGAGACCACGAAAGGAAACCACAGAGTGTAGGATACCTATAGAGTTTCATGCCTTGCAGCACACATCAGCACTGGTATTAGGTTTACTATCCATCAGCAGACTTATGTCCATGGATATGCTCCAAAGAAATGACGCAAATCATCCCATATAGCCAATTTGAAATGCCACACACGAGGACATTCTGGAAATTGTGAGAATCGATGCTTAATAGGCACCTTGGTCCGAACAAGGCAGTGGTAACCTCGTAGTAGTCAGGGTGAGAAATCAGCACAAGATCCAACAGCGCAGGCTACAAATATATGATATAAACGTATGTGTTACGCGCTTGTACGGACATTTGTAGATTATCTACTTTTTCTTTACAACACGTGGTACATTCATTGTAATAGCCATATAATATAAGGTATATAATATATATGTCATATTGTATAACATCCTAGACGACGCCAATATCGTCCAATTCATAAAGTGCAACAGGCTCAAATGGTTAAGACATGTGCACCGAATGGCAAACGACAGAACACCAAGGTCCTTACAACCCGGTGGCAAAAGGAAACCCGGTAGACCGAGGCTGCCTTGGTGGGATGGAGTTGTCAAGGATCTCGTAACAATAGGGGTTCGCAAGGGATGGCGAAGTGTACTTGAGGAAGCTAAGGCCCACAAGGGGTTGTTTTGATTTGATGATTATGATGATATATAACATATATGAACTACTGTTAAGGATATATTTGATATGCTTTATTTAGAATAACTTCGTTCATTTTATATTTATATATATAAAAGCAACCTTGGCCGCCAGATCAGTAATAGTTGCTATTATCAATGGAGGAAGTACGGCTTCAGAGAAAGCGCTTCGAACTAATTTCCGCGTCATTAATACATCGAAAGATTTAATTCAAAGCCGTTTTGAATACTAATTGTTTAGGGTATGCAGTGTTTAAAAAAAGGTAAATAAGCCCACCTGGCGTGAACAAAACACTATTGTTCTACGCTATCAGTCACCTCACACCTGGTCTAGTTACCTCTGAATCCTTGCTTCTCTCATTTTTTACATCTGATGTTAATTTTCAAACGCACTATTGTTTTATATTCTTATTTTCTAAAACTATGGTAGTTTTTGGATAAATTCCTATTATATATATTAAAAGAATGGGAGGAAATAGACACTGAAAATGTTAGAAGACTAATTGAAAAATATTATCTCTTGCTTAAATTGTCATTTTTCATAGTACCTAGTCAAAAAGTTAGATGTAGTACATATAATTAACTAATAACATGCGCTATTAAGATACCAAAGGACACACACTTTATAGTCTAAAAAAAGCATAAAAGACAGAAAAAAACATTGCGTAATCAATTATTATTTATCTTCATTGATTCACATTCGTTAAAGTATTTTTTATGTTAGTATTGAGAGAAATAATATAATAAAACGTCTCTTAATATTTTTTCTATTTTCTAACAAATTATTATGTTATAACAGGAATTGCACATTTTCTATGAATCCTAATGATACATTTTTGATTTATTTATATATATTTTTCCATCATTAATAATCAATAGTTATTAATAGCAACTGAAAATAATCTTCTTCGATATTATATAGACTTACGTAGTTTGAAATCAAAACTCTATATATACAGTTAATGAATGTATAAAATTCCTAAATTAAATATAGTTATCAGTAGATTATTGAGAGGTGTTCATCAAAAAGAGTTCAACGCGTCAACCCCCGGGTTACACTAGGGTGGTGAAGGAATACCTTTTAATTGCTGTTCTCTCTCTCTCTCTGATCTGTATTATATTAGACATTATTATTTTAATTGAGTAAACAATACTGTAAATCGTATTAAAGTATAACATTAATGTGTCTTTGGACTTTCACATCGACGCGATTTTAGACCTTATGTAGTTAATATAAGTGACTGTATCGAGTTATCTCCAGCTTCCCTTGGGTCTTAACAGCTAGATGCGCACTAGCAGGTGCCAGTGCCACAGTGGGGTGGTACACTGGTGGGGCGGTGGGGCGAGGCGGCGCGCGGCGGAGAGGTTCGCGACTCGCGACTCGCGCTTTGCTCGCAGCCGCGCCCGCACGTGAGGTGAGCGCCTGCGCCCCGCGCGTCCGCGATGCCCGTCTGAACCTTTGAATATAATGGAGTATCCTCTCGCGCCGCCCGCCCAGCCCTTGGGCCCGCCGCCCCCGCCACAGTTGCTGCCCGGACCGCAGCCCCTGCCCTCTTTGCAACACGCGCACCTACAGGATGACGATCGCTGGAGTCAATACCACATCTGGAGGCAGCACGTCTTCGTCAACGGTCAGTCTCGTGGCAATGCGCCTCCCGCTCGTGGCGATCCAACATGTTTGGATATGTGTCCTTGTCGTTAATAACGCCCGAAGATATAATGTTATCACGTCCAAGGTCGCGTCCCGACGAACCGCGCTCGCTCGGTAGATAGTGTATAGTGTCCAAGGGATTACTCGATTCACGTGTCCAGTGCAGGAGACGATTACTCTAGAGGAAATCGTCGGGAAGACACGGGAACCAGTCGTCGGATAACTGGGTCATCGTACGTAAAGTTCCGTTGCGTTTCTTTTACCAATCGCTCTGTTTATGTTTTGTGAGTACATACTGCTCGAACTCGGCGCTTTCTCCGTCTCCGCTGGATGCTGGTAATCGTATTAAACACTCTATTTCAATAAGGAATTGTAATATCAACAAAAATTATAAAATTCTTTCTATCTTAACTCTTTATTAAATTAGACAGAATTTTTAAAAAAAATTGTTGTCAAATAATGATACATAATTGACTAACTTACTGGAACTAAATAGAGGATGTTGCACGTGTAGAGTTTTCGCACTCAGTTCGCTAACAAGAGTAGGTAAGTAATAAACCCGGAAGTAATTTTGAAATTCCTTTTATGATTTTCTATTTTTCTAAAATAATAACTGTGCATATTTCGCCTAACATACATGTCCGTAAACTTTTGATACCATACAATCTCGTCCAAAGGTTAGAGGCTGTGACAGCCGCGAGTATTTCTGTACTTATAAGCGTGTCACTTACACACGGATTATACCAACCTTGAAAACTCCGAGTCACTTATTAAAACATAGTGGTGCATGCCAGCTATTATCTTATTTCAGTATTTACTTAGGACTCTTTGGTGCTTCATATCGTTGTTTCAAGTGATTTTATATCACAGTCTCATTACACCAGTAATAGCTGCAAATTAAACAATTAATTTGCCATAGAATATCTCATACTTGTTCTGCAAAACGGAGTACAAAACCCGAAAATAAGAAACAGTGGGCATGGTGATTTCGATCGGTTGGAGTCGCACTTTCACTCCGAATATTTGGGAAAAAGTAGCGACCTTTTCGCAACTTTCTCCCGACTTGGCCTTCTCCGCCCCCCGCACCCCGCCCCGCACGCCGCAACGCACGTGCTTTCTTCCGCATGCGCGAACACTTTTACTTTTTAAACCTTACAATACGAGATGATGCGAACATTATTCCAAAATTAATAGCACTTTCTATACGAAATTTTGTCCAGCTTCTATTATTATATTAATGGTCTTCAACACTTAGATTTCATAATATGGTAGTATTGAGCGTAGCTATATATTAAAATTATGTTTTATTAAATTAATAATTAGGCAAAATTAACAAATCTTAAATATTAAACGGTCGAAAATGAATACGGATTTTATATTTTATTGTAATTGTACGATATTGTAAAGACTTCGTCAATTATTCAACATTTTTATTACACCGATGTCAGTATGCACGAATAGACCTACGCGATAAAAGGTCAGCGCGGAAATTTTGAACGAATCGATAATAATATTAATGTTTGTTATTGGTTTGAATGGATGAATTATTAGCATAATACTAATTAATATGTGTTAACGGAATGTGTAGTCACACACAAATCACAAATTACCTTTCCCTAGCAATATATTTATAAAAATATAATGTTTGTATAAAAAAATAATCATAAGTTTACTAGAATAGAACATACGCATAATGTTAATACTTGGATCAAACGCAAGCTGCAATTTCCCCGTACTAGACTATCTAAAGTTTAAATTATTTTTTGGGAAAAGGGATATTCTTCTTTAATAAAACAATTTTTAACCTTGATTAATTGAAGTTATGTATTAACAATTATTTCTCATAATTTTAAATTTAACCGACGTTTCAAATAAAATAATTGTAAATACATAACTTCAGTCCGGTTAAAAATTGTTTGATTAAATGTGTAATAGTTATGTCAATAAATGACAATACTATACTCTTCTTTAATAAAATCCCAGAGGCTCTTTTATCTCTGCCTTTAACTAAATTTAATATTAGTATAGTATTAAAGTAAAGCTGTGTAAAAAAGCTTAGGCACTATAAAGTTAACGATTATCTAGTTGATAAAAGGGCCTGGGACTAGTGCTCTACAGGCTTCTAATTAATTTGCAATTTTTGTTTTAAAATAAGTGTTGTCTGCCATAGTCATTTTGTATGATAATTTGCTATTTTAAAAGAGTTTTTACGCCGGCTTTTTCTCTCTGCCGACACCCTCTGTCTTCTTTGCCGATGAGTAGGGATGTCTACCAATTCAAATTTAATGACGTGGAATAAGCAATACCTGTATCTTATATTCCAAGTTATGATAGGATAAAGTCAATACTGCTACTTAGTAATGGATAAGTGAGAGTAGTTTCTAAGCCATATAAAAGCGCCGAGAGTAAAAGTAATCTTCCGGAGTACTTCCGCGTTTTGTCCCCCGCTCGGTGATCTTCCGACTTTTACTTTTAGTGACGTCGCCGGCGCAGCCTCGCTCTATTGCCTCCCTAACACAGCTCGCATCTTATATCCGTGTTTCCACGCATCAATGTAATCAAACAGGAAATACGTTATCAGTCGATTCGTTTTCTTTAAAAACATATTTATTGTCATTCTTTTAGATCTAACATTCTCATGACGCACGCAATGTATTTACTTTAATGGAATTCTTGTATTTTATTCAACTTAGTTCCGTTTAAGAAGTATATATGTAACACATAATAAACGTTTTATGAAATTATAGAATTTGCAAAGTCTGACGTAATATCGAGCAACAATATTGCAGAACTGGTGAGTTCATGTCATGAGTTGGTAAGGTAATAAAAATAGTCCGTGTCAAAGTCAGCACGTGGTGTACGTCTTTTGTCGTACAAGTGTGATGTAGACAGGACAACAGCTGATAATGTTTTCGTTTGCGATATATTATACGTGATACACGTTAAACGCGATTTTGTTTGTTTACCGTAGTAATCAATACTTAGTCCACGAAACAACATTGTGAACAAACTAAAAACCTTGACCTTATGTAATTGTGGACAAATGCAAGGAAGTCCGAGGCTGCCATGACTTACATATATATAAGTCTCATGTGTGACGTCTTGTGACGTGCGGTGACGTACCGTGTCGGCGTGACGATCTTTGACGCGGTTCAGTGCACCGGCACCCTCGTGCCGTGCGCTGTTTTATCGTGCAAAATTACTTCCTATCCGCAATATGCATTTTTCTTTTTGCTAGTAGTGTACTGAGTCAATGGAGCATATTGAATATATAACAGATTATTTTCTTTTTTTTTAATTTTAAAGGTAAACAAATTGTGGTGTTTTCCTCTGTCACCGTCGCGAGTGCATTGTCTCCTCACTGTATGATATTTATTTAAGAAAAATTCCAAATCAACTAGCTGTATTCACACTTTCTCGTAACTTTCGCTCAATTCGCACGTTAACGAAAATGATCGCGCGCCGCCGGAAAACGAACGCTTTCTCCGTTGCGCAACCGTCTACTTCCCGCTTCCTTACCGGCCCCTCCTTACCCATATACCTCCCAACCAGGAAGCGAGTTATTACGCAAAAGCAATACTATTAGTTGATACCTGAATACCTTATACTGATGCTGGCAATAAACTGGATAAGTGGACATTCCGAACGTTTTCCATAGAACTGGTTTGTTTTGGGCATTAGCAAAAAGCCTGTACTCCCTGTTCTAGTTGCAGTCTTTAGGAACCAAAGTTTGCGAGCATTTGATAAATTACTGTTATTTCATCGTAATAAAACCTAATTTAAGATACATAAGGAACACAAGAATTTTCAATTATTTTCTCCTGAAAGAGACCAAAAATAAATTCAATGTATCATTACTGAGACAATGATGAGTAGACATTTTTGAACAAAGAATGTCGCAGGTGGCCGAAAGTTGAGGTCGTTTTAAAGTCAGATCAGTGCGAGTCGCTTTCTAATGCGCCGCAAGAAAGTGAGAGTTCCCGCCCCCTCACCCTGCACCGCAGTCGTTGCTTATTTGGACAACACTTTCTCTGATTCGGCACCTCGGCACTAGTTACAGAAAGTTACAGGTAATAATTTGTAAACAAATGAAGTCGTGATTTTGTTTCCGGTATGGTCCAAACGTTGCTAAAATTTAATCGTTTAGCCCCAAACGTTTACCAAAGTAAACCTGAACTAATGGTCTAAAGGAAAGCAATTTCTACGCTCCTCTGCTGCTTAGCCACTCGGTCACATCCGCCTGATTGCGTGCCTGATAGGCTATGATGTAGGGGTCCCTGTTTATAAAAGAAAAAAAACTAATAGTCTAGTATCGACAGGTATAAATTAATATTTGTAAGGTATAACACAGAATTGTTGTTTTTTTGGTTTTGACATTTATTGTTATGGTAATTTCTTCACAAAATGAGCATATACAACTGTAGGAGTCATAAACAAAGAGTAAACTTTCTTTCATAGACAATTTTTTTTTTAAATGTCTAATCGGCTTATGGATCCCTCTGTGGATACGAAGTGGTCATAAGGAAGCGAACAGTGTGGTTTAGCCTGCGGGGCGGGGGAGGGCAATGTCGTCACTGGCCGTGGCCACTTTCTCCGATAAAAGTGAGAGCGGTCGCGGGCCGGAAGTAAGCGAGCCTGTACACCTTAGATGACAATACTACTTTTTAAGCATTCTAGACTATATTTTATTTCATTATTGTTCAAATGCTCAGTGTATAAATAAATAAATTACTGGCGCTACAACCTCTTTAGATCTGGGCCTCTGTTCTGAATCTGTTTCATGATCATTTTTCAATCTAATAGGCAAGTAGGTGTTCAGCCTCCTGTGCCTGACACACGCTGTCGACTTTTTGGGTCTAAGACATGTTTTCTCACGATGTTTTCCTTCACCGTTCGAGCGAATTTTAAATGCGCACATAGAAAGAAAGTCCATTGCACAGCCGGGGATCGAATCTACGACCTAAGAGATGAGAGTCGCACGCAGACGCCACTAGGCCAACACTGCTCATAAATACTCAGTGTATTTGAAATTAATCTAGTAATCAAAATAGGCCAATTATGCGATTCGTTCTTCGTTCGATTTATGTAGATATAAAAATTTTCCTCTTCATTTATAAAAACTAAATTATACAGTGATTTAGTTCCGACTCTAACGGCTAGATTACTATTCCGCCTCTTTCTGTCAAATTGTGTTTACGCTAGGATAAAAAAGGTAGAGGATAATTTTTCAGTTTCAGCGTGGGATCAGCTAGGATAGTCAGACTTGTAGATTTCCCGATGCAACCGTCTAGAATAAGTGAACGTACAAGCACGCTCGAGTGCGCGTGTTGCACAACTGGGTTACTTCCGCGACTTCCTCAGCCGTGGGTTTTTCACGAGGAAGCCGCGATTGATCGTTACACGTTACGTCAATCTTCCTGTCTCAGCTACTTCCCTTCGCATCCAGTGACAAAAAAGATTCAGAGCATTACATTAAACGCAAACAATAGAGATTCCGTCAGCATGACCTTGATATATGCTATAATTAATATCAATAAGTGCAGTGCTATAGCCACACGGGGCGCTTAGGTAGGCTGCACAGTGTTCTACCTCCCACCTCCCCGGGGGTCGGGTGTGGGGGGGGGGAGTGGTTAAGGCTCGCGGCGAGCCGCGTGACCTCACGACTAACACGTGCTCATCTCCGCGCTCACACAAACACACCCAACCTGTTTTGTCTTAAATATGGATGTACAAGAATACAACACAATAATAAGATTTATTATATTCCATTTCATCTTGTTGTCACACGAACGGTATCTAAAGCTATCGGAACCTGACGTTACAATAGTTTTAATCATATTCAAATGTAATTGCTTTTTATACTTTTATATAGATATGTATATACTTATATACGAATTAAATAAAAAATTATTGCAATCATGTTGCTGCATTATAAACACACAGTTTTATTCCTAAAACGTTGAGTTGGTACTTAATATATATATTGTGTAACTTTAATATTGGAATGATGATAATATTATAATATTGCTATTGCGACGATATTTTAAATACTGTGTATAAATCTGCTGAGCGAATGTATAGAACGCCGCAGGCGCAATGCGAGTCGAGGTTCGCCCCGTCCGCCCGACGACGGCGCGCCAGGAGCACGCGGTCGCCGGGCTTTGGGCTCCAATGACCGGGCTGATGCCCTTCTTGTTACAGGCAAATCGGTCAACGCTAAGGATGTTCTCGAGGACAAGAAAGATGACAGCGAGCTGTGGGAGGCGCAGGCTGCCTTCCTCGGCCCCAACCTCTGGGACAAGACTCTCCCCTACGACCCAGATCTCAAGGTACACGAAGTCAGTATTCGTCACTCGTTACCTATTGCGTGTCGTGTGTGTGTGTGTGTATGTTAGCTAGCGCCGCGCCGCACTAGGTAAACCGATGTGGTTAGCATAAGGTAGCCTTAAGGCGATGCGAAATGCGATGCGTGAGCGAAAGTAGTGAGCGCGAGGTGCTATCGAGCGCTGGCGATTGGTGTAACCGATTGTGGCGTGCTTTCAGTACGTGGACCTAGACGAGTTCCTGTCGGAAAATGGAATGGCCGGCGAGGCGCTCGGTGGTGCGCATCTTGGTGGCTCCGCGTTCGGCGCCGGCGCGGGGCTGGCGTTGGGTCTTCAGCCGCCCGTCACCAAGCGCGAGCGGTCACCTTCACCCTCCGACTGCATGAGCCCCGACACCATCAACCCGCCGCTCTCGCCCGCCGACTCCAGTCAGTATTCATTCACTATGTAGCTTTCTTAATTATTATCGCAGCTTTTTTAGCTTTGTTTGCAGTAAACTGTAGAGTGCCACAGAAGGAGGACTTTGATAATGACATCAAAAATATTCTAAGGGACGTTTCACTAAACATTTATGACTGATAATTGGTTATTACGTACCCGTGATAATATGATGTCTGCAAATTGCCCGGTATTAGCGTCAATTGAGCCTCGTGCAACGATTATCGCAAACTGTGATTACGAAAAGTATTATCCGGTCAAAATTACGAATGATTAATATACGATATGGATTCAAAATACAGTGTAAACTCTCTTATAACGAATTTCAAGGGATCGAGCATTTTTTTCTTTATAGAGAGTTTTCGTTATAGGGATGGAAGAGAAAAGAACCAAATTTAACCAATTACAATAATTCATATCATATTATAGAGTTGTTCTCCTTTTAACGAATATAAAGAGTTTACACTGCATATGTACTAACAAATTGCATTTAATGATTTCAGCATTTTCAATGGCGTCGTCGGGTCGCGACTTCGATCCGCGGACGCGGGCTTTCTCTGATGAGGAGCTTAAGCCGCAACCTATGATCAAGAAGTCGCGGAAACAGGTAAATGATGTTAGTGCGCTGATCATTCCTAGCGGCATGCCATGGCCTCGCCATCGGGAGCGGCCTTACACACACACACACACACACACATACACACTACCAGAAGTACACGCAGCGTTACAAAGCACTCCTTAGTAGGCTAACTGCTGCTTTGTGTCTCCAATAATGCGCTATATACGAGGAGGTAGAAGGTTTTTTTCAACTCAGCTAGTCTACATTCATTATTGTTCCTTACAATTTACATACTTGATATCTATTGGAATAGAATGGAACTACAGTCAAAACCGTTTACGACGATATCGTTTAGAACAACATACCGGTTATATTGATCAAAATCAAAGGTCCCGGCTGAATTCTATTGTATTAGGTACTTAATAACAACGTCATCGGCCTTTACGACTATCGATTTTTACGACCAAATATGAGTAATCCCTTCGATGTCGTTATAACAGATTTTGACTGTATTAATAATGCGATAAACATACAAATGTGGATTATGATAAGAAACGAAAAAAAAGGAACGAAGAAAAATTTCGAAATTCATATCTGCTTCAGGTAACAATGTTTTTGCTTGATTTTTAATTACAGCAGAACAGAATCTGAATTACCTTTGAATTGTGAATTCGCACAATTTTAATATTATAATGTTGTAATAGACGTTTGCAAAGTCAGGATGCCTAATCCTCCCACTGAGAAGTTAACATTTGTGACATTATTACTGAATTCATAATAAACTCAAAAAGTCTTGCAATATGTTATGTACTATGTATATTTTATATATATACGTATATGTATATTTTAGGAAGGATATTGTAGGGGTGGGTATATGGCACACTTTAGTGTATAACCAGAGTGTAGAATTTTGTTGTAAATATAATTTAAACCTTTCTAAAGAAGATACTGTAAACTTTTAAGTCCAAGAACTACCATTTCTTTTATCAAAGTTATTGAGTAGTCTTCTCGATAGATTGGTTCTTGAATATTGCTAACTAATATTTAATCAATAGAAATTATTCTGAAGAAAACGGGACCGACTCTAAACACTAGACACACAGACACTTGCACATTGCTTATTTAACGCTTAATACTTACTAACTGGGATATGATGGATGCTTGTGAAAACGCTCAGCCTATTTTAAAAAAGAGATGGGTTTTTAGTAAATAATTAATTGTGTTATTTTGGCTGGGCGGTTTGTATTGCATGTATTTAATGAGTTATAATATATAATGTAATGGTAACGTAATTATACATGATAGCAATAGCATTTCGAATTTTTTGAATTTTATTGGTATTTTTTAACGAAATTTCAGTTACTTTTCAAACTTTTTCTTGCACGAATTCACGAGATTCTCAACAAAGGTTATTTTATTTAATAGATCTCACATCGATCTTTTTCAGTTTATAATAATAATAAAAAAAGCAATCACGTAACTTTTGTTTTTAAAAAAAGAAGTCGTTTGTTAGTTTTGTGTCGGAGCGTGTTTCTAATTATGGATAAAATTGTAACTCACTCGGTAATGTTGTCTCTGCTTGGAATTTTTACAACGAAACATGTCAAATCAAGACTTGACAGTGACATTAGGGCTTCATATTCTACAGTAGCGTGTTGCTGAGTTGAGTTCAAGCGAGAAAGAACTTCCATAATCGTCCCCCGACGAATGAACAAATTATTAAAAAAGTTGAAAATCGCGAACCGTCCTATTACTGTTTCCTTTATAGCAGAAGAAATAAAGATTTCTATAGGAGGTGAGGTATTTTATATTTATTTATTTCTGACGTAAACGCTGACGAGACTGAGGATTTAACAAAACTGTTTGGGTTTGTTTAAACATGATCTTGACTGATTTTTGGCTCGATTCATCACTTTGGACGTTACAGTAGAGACCATCATGGAAGAAATTTAAGGCAATTCCATATCAGATAGAAAAGGCTGTTTCAAGGGTGTTACCCTTAAAATGGTAATGATTGAATACCTTAATCCCGAAGGTCACCATTACGGGGACTTTGCATGGAGGACGAAAAACAAAGTTGCGTGAGAAAATACGCAGGCAACAGCGTAGCAAACTCGCTGAAATTGTTTGTTTCAAGAATTCGCCGCCGCACACAAGACCAGACTTGCGAAGGCTCCCATTTAAGAAGATGGCTTCGAGTTGATGTATATCTTCCATATTCACCGGACGTGGTTTTAATTATTCCTGTTGAACAGTTTTTAGTGTGAATTTTTAAACGATGCTGTATTTTTGATACACGATTATTTTCTTTTAAAGAAAGCTGCTTTAGGAACAATATTTACAAGTGTATGAACCTAAACGATCGAAAAATAAAATGATATTGAATAAAATTGATCATGTTTTATTGAACAACCCCAGTAGTTGAATACCTGAATTCCCTTAGACGAAAATCTTTATTTGATCAGAATTGTATATAATCTGTTGCATCTCAAAGTTTAATTATTTAGTACGTTTGTAGTTCTAAACGGTGAAGGGATAATTATTTGGAAGAGGTGAGTCGGTGTGAGAATTCTTTTGTGTGTCGCAGTTCGTGCCCGATGACCTGAAAGACGACAAGTACTGGGCGCGTCGTCGGAAGAACAACATGGCCGCCAAGCGGTCACGTGACGCGCGACGGATGAAGGAGAACCAGATCGCTTTGAGAGCCGGATACCTCGAGAAAGAGGTACAATTAGAAACTAGGCCTTGGCTAAATTGAGTATTTTCCATTAAGATACAACTTTTTTAAAAGTTAAAATCATTTATTCATATGGGTAACACATTGTACACTAATGAACGTCTAAAAGAAATAAACATTAAATCCTTCAAATTTTACATTTACATTCAATGGCGTTTTACATCAATACTCTTTTTAATCGCCAAGTTTTTTCTTTTAAACAACGTTTGTAAGGTGCTGCAACAATTACACCATGTTCCACATGACATCTTAAGTAATAAATAATAATAAAATAAATTAAAAACAAAGACTTGTCCACTATCAGCAGGAGGCATGGTGAAATAGGAGCACGCACTTACATTCTCCATCTCTTTATTTTGTAATGCCATTCATAGGTACATATAAGGTTTTTAAATAATATAATAATGTTACGTTTCAGAACATGGGCTTGCGACAAGAAGTGGAGCTACTGAAAAAGGAGAACCACATCCTGCGCGAAAAGCTCTCCAAGTACGCGGATGTGTAGGCGGCCGAGGGAACCGCACAAATACACACAACACCATGTTAGTACATCCTCCTAACTGTGTTAGAAATAAACCGTCACAGGCTGACTGGATATTATAAGGTGTATTCCTTGTGCAGATGAACAGCGTCGCCGCCCCGCTCCGCGCCGCGCCGCCGGCGAGCCCTGGCCCCGGCCCGCTCGCCCGGATCTCAGCGCGTCCAGTGACCGCGGACCCCGCCTCAACGTCCACATCTGATATTTCCCACTTTATGTTCAATGTTATTCGTTAAGAATCGTTATACAGTTACCATAAGTTAATTTAGAGTAGGCGATAACCAAAGTTCCCAGGCGGACAGTAGTTTCGGTCCGGGCGGCGGCGCTCGTGGACTCCGCCGATACTTTGCTCAAGTGGCGTCTCGCGTCACGCCCGCGCAAGTGTAGTGGCTGCGTCTGTATATAGGTAGTCGTAATTCTGTGGCCCCACAACGAAGCCCCGGGGCCCCGGCCGTCTCGGGCGGCCCCCGAGGGTGCTTTACGAATATTTTAGAGCATATTTTGAAAAGACTTATTTATAACGAGGGGGCGACACGCGGGCCTCGGCCGGGCCCAGGCTCGCGTGTCGAAGGCGGCGCCGGGCGCGCTCCGACCCGTCCGTCTCCCACCTCGGGGCCGCGCCCGCCGCCGCCCACGCCCCACCCGCTTGTTCCACCCGCTGAGATTAGCCGCAGCGCGAACACTAGTTTCGTTTGAGTAATCATAGTGATAGTCTAAGTAGACCTGTAGGTAGCGTAGCGTAGTTGTTATTAGAATATTTTTGTTATGGCTGTAGTTGTTAACGTTTCGAAAGTTTATATATAATTTGGTTTAGTTTTAAAGTCGCGGCCGGCGCCCACTGCACGACCGCATCTCCGCACTCTGTACGACTCTTGCTAATCTTATATATTATATTTTTGTAGATTTTTGTCGTTGATAAATGAGTCAATTGTATGTTTATTGAATTGATAAAATTAATGTTTATGAAGTTAAGACTAAGAAGTTGTTGCATTTGAAAGTATTTTATGACTTGGAGCGAGAACAATCAAATGATTTTTATAAATGTTTACATTAAATGAACTGTATACTTGTTTGTTCGGAGCCGAGAGCGGGGGCCCGAAGCGCCGTGGGTCCCCGTGGGGCGCCTCACGGGGGCTCAGTGGTGCCCCGCGTCTCGAGCGCTTAACTACCGCGCTCCGTGACATTTGATATTTCCACTTGTTTGTTGAACATAATATTATTGTATACATTAAATTATTACCCAGATATTATCGTGTACTATACTTTTACATACATATATAAAGGTTTTACCACAAATTTGTAACAAATGTATAAAAGGTGTACGGTGTATGTGTAGAAGCAGCCGAGTGTATGTTTATTTGTTAGTCCTGAGTTGCGCAAGGCTCGTCTCCGCGTCTCACTCGCACCGGTCGGTCGCCACCAGCCGACGACACAAACCATATTCATGTACCCGTAGTATTTTTTCATTTTATTTATATGGTTCTATGGATTAAAATAAACGTTAATTGTTGTATTTCTGCCTTTTATTCAGATGGGTTTACTTAACCTATTGAAATTGGTTTCCCATTTTTCAGCTCATACCCCCGGATAAAAACGAATATATGATGAACATACCTTCAAATTTATTTATTTTTATTATGCTTTTTTCCCGAAGGATTAGGCCATGGAACTCCACTTACTACCGTCCTGACATCCCTCTCTTACCTCATCCACTTTCATGACATTCACCATCCACGGTTGCCTTGTATACCTACTCTCTTCTCATTCATTCGTTCCACATGGCCAAACCGCCTAAGCCCTTTCGTATCCTTTCGTATCCACTACGTCCCTTTAACCCACACTGCACACGTATCTCACAATCACTTATCCTATCACGTAATGTAACATTTACTATTAACGCTCTCGTTTCCACGCCATTTATTCTACACGCATTATTTATCTGCCACGCCCAAGTTTCACGTACGTTAATTTCAGGTAAGTGGTTGCCTGCAAGAGATCGCTCGAACGCGATAATGCCGCCAGTTACACTCCTTTTCATTGAATTGTGTCAATTGTATTATATTTCTTCAACGAAGTGTTAATACATAAATAAAATAAATTACCATAGATTTTGTTTTCACTGTTCACTTTCATCCTCTTAAAACTCAAATAATGTTTCAATGTTATCAGGTCCTGTGTTATACGTACGTCGTACACGGTAAGTAATAATGCTGATTTAAATAATATAATATATTTTAATAACTATCATTGCTTTTTCTAATTGACGTGCAATTAAAAATTAAATTATAAATAATTTTATTTATACAATCTTAAAATAAAATTGATTTAAAATCCATAAAATATTATATCTCCTATGTTAAAAGTACAAATAATATCAGCACTTAAAAGCTAGAAGCTCTCTTACACTATGAATAGTTATTGTAAATCCCCAACATAGCGATATAAATCACAGTCTATTACGTCATTGTACAGTCAATATCATCGTAGAAACCATGATTGCTACGCTGGATTGCCTTATTAGCAGTTAAATTATTGGAAAACATTTTGATAGTTCTATTGCTGGATGGTTTTGTTTTTTATTTGGACCACAAAATTAGGACAAACACATGATATAAATTGACATACATAGGAAAATATAAGCGGTGCCGTCCCTAAACCATGTGGACACCAGCGAAATCAAGTAGGTAGATACAGTAAACAGTGTTAATACAAACAACCATAAAATAAAAAATATAAAAAAAATTACCAATAATATAAAATAAACTATTTGAACCTAGAAATGAAATTATCGGTAGGTACTGTGTCCTAATTCTACTCTTAGCTGTTTTGTAGTTTGATTAAGGAATTCATGATGTTATTCGAGGCTATACGTATACTGGTAGTACTTAACAATGTTGGCAATAAAAAAAGCTCCGTTAGCAAACAAAACTTTTAAACCCTTTCGCAAAAGAGTTAACGCTTACGTGATGATAACCGCTACTATTATCATATGAAATGCTGGCGGGGAGTGAAGTGAGGAGCGGTCAATCGGTCGGGGCCGGGCCAAAAGAGCGCACGATACTGACAAGGGCAGTGTACGTGCCGGCCACTAAGCCAACCAAACCGACCACGAATAGAAAAGCATCCTTAAGGAACATCAGGGATCTTTGCACGCTCGCCCGCTTCGGGTACCACTGGCATGCCTCCATCAGGGCAGGGAAGCAAATGCCCAACGCCGACAAACACAACGCACCGAAGAGTGAGATGAAAAGCCCCAGACGCGGCACTGATACGGCAAGCACAACTGTAAACAAGAACGTAAATTATTACTGAAGTAATTAATATGCAGATCTTGTAGACAACGTTATGAAGTAACTGTAACATTTGGAAATTATATGTATGATTTATTTTTTAATTAGACAAAACTGTTTGTAAAGCAGTCTATTTTGTATATGGTATAGTGATATTTAATAAAAGTCAAAATCATTTATTCATATAGGTAATACAATGTACACTTATGAACGTCAAAAAGAAATATGTATTAAATGCTTCTAATTTTACATTTACTGCCAGTTCTCAAATCTAGATCGTAGAACGAAAGAAAAGAACTGGCAAGACTCCGCCACTGTGACCGATTCTTATGAATTTTTTTGCATTTTCAGTAGGTAAGTCAGAGAATCGGCTATTATCTATCTTTCAAACCACTAAGTGATAAAGGGCCACCCCAAAAAAAAATTGATATTTTTTTATGATACAACATACAAAAATACAACCCCTAATTTTCACCCCTCTACAATTAACCCCTATTTTTTTTATTATTGTAGATAGTTATTTTTATTGAACTAAAAATGTTTCCAAAAATAATATACATGGCAAAACAAACGTTTGGGTTAGCTAGTAATTTATGATAATTGTATTTGTAATGTAATGAAATTTTAATAAATAATACTGACAGGTCAATAGGCAAAGCACTACTCGCAAGCCATACTCCCAAAGCCGAATACGCTGACTTCCGTTTTGTTGCAGCCGCGGTAGAAGGTATCCCTTCCACACTACTTCCACTGGCACGTAGCAGTGGAGACCGTAGCTGATGAAGATAGCCACCGCAAACATAATCATCACGCTGGCCGCAAGCCTAAAAATGCCAAGTGAACCACGTTCATTTGTGAATTTTTGAAGTTATACTTCTTTTGGCGCGTTAGGGATGTCAGTAATTTTTTTAACGATGCGTGCGCGCACAACGTCACAAATAACCCTCACCCTGAAGTTAGCATTAACATTTTTTAATTATGTAGAAATATTTTATTGTGATATTTAAATAAAGTTTATTTAACTAGATAATGCGTTATAATAAAACTTTCAATGTATTAAATACTTTTTTTCTATTGTTAGTGTCGTATTTTCTACAAACGTAGAATAAGGCGAATGATATGTTTTTATCTTGTTACGCCAAAGAAGTATAACTTCTAACGCGTGTACACGTTTTTTTTTTTTCTAAGCCATATTAGTATCAGGCAGGTGATTAAACTTTTGTTTCAACACTAACTTACTTCCAAGGACACAGAGTTTGAAAAATTATTTAAATCCTTTCGTTTTTACTTCTCTTTTACAGTTATGGCCCTATCCCAGCACGAATTGCTGTGTCAGTGTCTCGGGGTGAACTACGGGGCACAGTGGAGAGCTGGATCACTGAGGCGCGACGGCCCGTAATAACAATTAGTAAAACATTAAATTAATGTAATTTCATCAATATTTTTAAAGTGAAACTTCTTTATCGAGGTTGGAAAAAAAATCAGTGTAACATTTTTTCGTTACGCGTCACATTTTTCGGTTACGCGCCATGTTGCTTTTTGAAGTCAAACTTCTTTATCGGCGTTGGAATGAAACTTCTTTATCGACGTATGGGAGAAATTTTGTAGCAAATCGTCACGTTTTTCAATGATAGTAATAATTCTATTACAATTAATGAAATTCTATAATAATCTTCGTAGTAATAAGGTAAAATGAAATATTTGTATTTATGTCTATGATAATAAAAGCCTTTTGTTAAACTTTATCTAATTTAACGAATTTCTGTAAAGTTGCATATAGTAGATCATTTTTCGAAAAATAAGATCATAAAGAAGTTTCACTTCTTACGTGTGTACACCTAGTACACGCACGATTCATTTTATTTTTAATAGATTACTTGGCTTGCTATAAAATATATCGTGTAAATTTCAAAATCATGTTCTATATACATTTTCGTCATAAAAGGAATTGAAAGTGTCAAATTATTGGCTATGTTTGGATTTTTTTTCTATCGAACGAAGTTATTTAAATCGTATATCTTCAAAATGGATACATAAACTACTCAACTCCACCATATATTTTTTCCATTCAAGAAACGATTACGAAATATGTACTTTTTTGGTGTTTGGCGACCAGATAGGTCCTTAAAGGGAAAATATAGACACATTGTACATTTTAACTCTATGCGTAAAGACAATCACATTGGGTGAACTCACGGGCCTTTTGGTAGATCAAGAGTGATAGAGTCACTGCATTTGGAAACGCAGTAGGTGTAGCCAACCGCACCAATGGCTACGTAGAGCACCACGATGATGAACATGCCAGTATTAAGCACACCACATGGCTTCAGAAAGGCTTTCGGCGTCTTCATATTGTTTTCTACTGCTATCACCTGTATACATATAATTGAGATCAGGGCGATAACTTTGTTTGTTTGGTGGCTGTATGTTCTGAAATTTAACTGTCGAAATTTTGACACAATTGATCTATGATAATACATTTAAAAGATTATTTTACATAATTAATCGATTATTATGTTGATGGTATAAATAATAATTTAACAAAAAATATTCTTATTATATATTTTATACGTAAAGTATTCTGGTGCTATGAGTATAGCATATTTGTTTTCGTATAACGTTTCCGATTTTAATAGGAGCCATTTTGGTGTTTTTCAAGATTTCACTTTTACAAATTGTTTTACTTATAAATATGATGGGAATTGTTTAAAAATTTGTTTTCCAAAAATAAATCATATATCGAAGTAAATTCTTAATGTTAAACCCTATGCAAAACATTTATATAATAATTAAAACTAATGTTTACGAGTTTTAAGTAGATTCATTTACTTGTACAAATTTAGTTGATACATAAACTAAATAATATATTATTTACAGCTTAAACTTGACAAACTCGCTGAACTCAGAAACATTTTAGCGAAGAAGAGACCGAAAGAATATATGAATATACGAGTATATATAAGTATATATTTTTCTATGTTGATGGCGTCATCCTAACTAAATACTGTAATTAGAATATTTTTAAATAGCTATTATTTATACGTAAATATATTTATGATATTAAATGTGAAAATACCTATCTTTATTTAAGGAAACAAAATAGCATTGGAGAATAATACATTTCATGAACAGGATGAGAATTTTTTTTAAATTATAATAGATACTAGTAATATAACATTCTTATTTATTGTTAAATGAAGAATCAGGCGGCGTCTAGGTATTTGTATAGTTTTCAACTATACTTCTAGAATTTTTTGGTATTAAATAGATTATGCTATCGGGATGTAATTTTCGTTAAAGAGGTTGCAATACATTTTGGTAAAATTCACGAACGCGGACGGAAGCTCGTTTAAAATAATATATGATATTTGAAGTAAGAATACTCATTGATTTTGTTATACTACCTAATTAATTAATGCAATATTATTAATCATAACTTGTACAATTGTGTCAACGAATAAAAGTCGTTGATCTATAGCAAATTATAGACTCGATATCTACGAAGTCGGTAGAAGTCCGTCGTCTTAATAATAATTTCTTAAAACTAACCCAAAATAACCGTTAGAAATATTGAGTTATATATATTCTAAACTATGTTATTTAAACTTCGATACAAATAACTGTATCGTAAAAATCAGTATCGTTTATTCTGTCATAGTTTGACAACTAAACGTTCTAATTGATTTTCAGTCTCGAGGTCATGGTACAATTTTTATACAAATTTAATGAACGAAATTTGATTACCGTTGAATCCTCAACTGGCTGGTTTATTCAACGTCATTGTATAAGCCATGCAGTTCAGTTGAAGGTTGTCATTAGGCTCGAAATAAGAGTTCATGGTAGCTAGCTTTGTAAGACAGAACACTAAATAGCTCAAATCTTACTCCTAAATAGTAAATTTGAACGATTTAATCAAATGTAACAGAATAGAGAAGTGTTTTAAAAAATGATTACTTACAACGCCGACAGCAGTGAGCGCGAAGAGAATGGTTCCAAAGAAAAGTGGAAATGTAGCTGCAGAGCCCCAGAGGTCCAGTGGCTCCGTAGAACGCTCGCCCGAGAGGAGAAAGTAGAGAGTAATGCCAAGTCCCAGGAAGATTAAAACATTTGCGAGCGCTGAGAAGGGCGCGAGCAGCTTAAGACTTGGAATCAGGTTGAAGGCGACCAGTGGTAAAAGCAATGCACCTGTGTACACCTCCACTGGCAGCTCTCGTATCGGGTCGACCACCTAAAACACCAGAATATGGGGAATGCAACAGCGCAATCAAAACAGACACACATGAATACCAAGAATATAGTTTTCAACTAAATTACCACAATTGTTTGTGACCCATTTCAACAATATTTTACTTATAATCGTTGAGTATCTTTCTGTATGACAACAAGCTTAATTATGAAACTATTAACGCAATTTCGTGTCGTGATTTCGGCTGACTATTATGGGTTAATTAATTTTGGCAAGGTCTGTCTTCTGTTTATGGTAACGTAATAAATAAAATAAAATTATTCATAAAAATTATATCAATCGTATAATGTTAGTAGCAAAATTAAAAAGCTAATGAGACAGCAATTTTCTTTATACTTTTAAGATTCACGAAAGCAGTTATAACATTATCATCATCTATTTCTATCTGAAGGAAGACGAACATACAATGTAGGATGGAATGTGGCATCGTAATGGAATAGCTCTGGAATTTCCTTAACAGTTAGCGACCAATTGAGTGAGCGCAATCATGTTATATTAGTAGAGGCGACATGTCAAGTAGCTCTTATGTCGGATCCCCCTTCCCCTTCACCCCAGACGGTCGTGAATGCCCATAGCGCTCCGCCCTTGGTTCTAATTGCCAAGATGCCGGCTCGGTGTGGCCCTAGCTATGCGCACTATCATGTTACAGTGACGTCTGTGATATCACTATCCATTAGTTATGATTGAACCGCATCCAAAGTTCAAACGGCATCTTTCGCATCGTCAACGTTAGGCCTTGACAATAAATAAGATCGGGCAATATTGATTTATCGTCCCTATTGCACATCAATTGTACTTTGTGCTTGCGTCACGCCCTAATCTGTTAACAGCGTACTTCCCATACATGTCATTAAACTTTTTAAATTACGCTTCGAACCACATAGTCCATTGAAATGTTACAATTTGAGGGCCAAACTCTGAAAGTTCAAAATGAGCTCCTCTACAAAATTACACAATTTTTTGATAAAATCAAAAGAAAAAAAGTTATTAAGCAAAAAAGGAAATTTTTCAACTTTTTTACTTATAACTTTTGAATTTTGGCCTTATGATAAAAAGTCACTGAGACATAATTGTAGGCAAAGCGATTTGCTACGAAATATGTCGATACAAATTTTTTGTACGATGGATAGTTTGGGAGATCTAGCCAAAAACGTGTTATCACCCCTTTTTCCAAGATGGCGGCCGGGGGACAAAGGCTCCAACCCCACAAACTTGGGTTTAAGTTTGTATTTACCCCCCCCCCCCCCCCCTACATGTTCCATAATTAAGATTGCGTCCTCTAACAAATGTTCAGCAAATGTGACATTTCAATGGACTAAAATATTGATAATATTTGTAATGTCCTGCCGCGAGTGTCATTAACATTAAGGCGTTAAGAATTAAACAACATGATTACCTTTTTAAGGTTATCAGAGATAAAAACGATGTAAACACAACAGATGCCGAGCTGATATAGGACGAGGAAGGCATCAACAAGGGCAGGGGCGGGTTTCGAAAGGCGACGCAGGAACCCCGGGCCGTGGGACAGCGCCGCCGCCGCTGCTTGTGGGTATGCCAGTAGAGGCACACGGCGCGCGCGACAGGCCTCATACTGCGAGCGTAGCAATACTTTCAAACAGTGAGTAACGAGTATGCCTCCCAATATTGTTCCCAAAATTCCTGTGATCAGACCGGCGCGGGCGAACGCTTGCGGCATCGCGAGGATACCGGTGCCAAGACTGCATTTGAGCAGATGCACCAACGTCTCCATATTGCTGAAACATTTAAATTGATCGTACTAATATGTATTATATTTTAGATATATATTTCATAATTATATACAGATGTCCCAGAACTGTGGGACATCAAGGGAAAGTAAGTGTACCTTAAATATCGTAGAAAGAATATTTTGCTGAAAGAAGACTTTATTTTATTTTGAAAATTAAGTATTACATTCAATGATTTTCTAAAAATTACTTGTCTCTCTGGGAATATAACCGACACAAATTTGAAGAAAAAAAACACCCTTTATTTTTTTGATGCCAATCAAGAGTGGACAAAAAATAATATTTCTTCTTAAGTAATATAGTATTTTGAAAGAAAGGAACAACGTGAAATTAATCACTTTAATCAAATTAAAAACATACATGAAGAAGTAAATTAAGTATTTTTTGGAAATTAATTAATTAAATGCTCAAGATGTGATCCCTCTTATCTTACGCAAACGATCGCCACTGATTTATTCTATATTTTTTATATATTTTTAATATACCTTTGCATATTAAATAAAGGACTGAATTAAAATAAGCAATACAATAATCTGATTCAGTAGATCGTCGAGTTCAATATAACAAAAAAAAAACTTCGCATTTGAAGAATAACAAACGTATATCTGAAATAGCATTCGCAATGAAATGATTTAAATTGTATGCCCAATTGGAAGTATGTAGTTTGTACTTCAATTAGACGAATTTAGCTTGATAAGCTAAAAAGACGCTAGACTTTCTTAAATCCATAGAAGTCATCCCGCGCAGCTGAATATCATACTTACTTAGTTGGGTTTTCGAGTTCTCGATGATCATGTGGATCATAGTCCGTCTCCTCTGTTTCCCCAGTGTCTTGCATCCGTCTGAAAAACCGTTTTGTCAAAAATGCTATTTAATTTAGTTGGAAGACAGAAACATACTATGGGTATTGGGTACTATAAAAATTATACTTAAATCCAAAATTATATTTTATACTCGTTCTTTAGTTGCCTCTGCTTTTTTTATGAAATCAATTATAATTAAAAAACACTATAAACAGACAAAAACGTGTAGGCTCAATTCGCTGATTGACGAGGTTGTGACTCATGTTAATTTGTGAGCCAATTTCATTATAGTTAAATTAAATTATAAATCAGATTCTACTGAAACATTTGTTGCTAATATTTTACTATTAATCCAGCGTTTGTTCTCTTCAATAATACCGTTATTTTTAAATACATTTGCCGTATCTTACCGGCCATTATCGGTATTGGCATCGTTATCAACCTCTCGGCGCGGCGTTACTGGCTCAGAAACGGGCTGAAGTTGTAGACGTTCACTTTTCTCGTCCATCATATTTCTGAGGAAAATAGCTCACATTATGCAACGGTTCACACGTGTCGAATGCTACTTTTAAAAATAGCAACGCTTCAGAGAAACCATTAGGTACAGTTCTATACAGCTCTTGGTTTATTTCAATAATGGAAAGCTTCCGCTTATTTAACAAAAGAGATTCGTGGAAATAGAGCAACAATATGTCAGCTCGGAGCCCCGTTTATAGGTTACGGAACTTCGTGTATGTCGGTCGGGCCGAGGTCGCTAGGGAATGGGGATATTCGATCGTCCCACGTGACGTCACTGCTCTGGGTACGATCTCGACCTCGACTCTCGTGAGACCTGATGCCTTTGACGTCTAATCATAAGTGGTGCAGTTATATTAACGCAAGTGAGATTTAGAAGCTGAAGTTTTAGTACCTTTGCTGATCTATTAAAAAAATATTATAATATATACAAACGGAATACTGTTTAATACACTTGTATGTTTTAGTTAGTAACAAATAAATATTAAAATAATATTTAAAAACTTGGTGTAAATGATTAAAAACAGGAATGCCTTGACCTAGTTAGATATACAATTGGGGTGAACAGACCGCGTAGTTATGTAAGCTACCTGCTATCGACCGCGCCTCGCGGTCTCTGACCCTCACGCTACACCCCTACGCTGCTACGCTGCTACGAATTACGCGCTACGGCTTATGACGTAATCACTAATTCACAAAGTGCACTTATAAAAAAGTTCATTCTATTTTTAAACATATACTAAAGTCGTATTAAAGTAATAACAAGATCACTAAAGCGACAAAAGTATGAGCTTTTCACGCTCGATGTATCGCTAATATTTCTTTGGAGGATCAGCAAGCAGGAGCAAGCGTAAATGTTGCCGGGCCTCCGTCTGGCGCCCTACTGAGTTAGCGACTGCCGTTCGCGTGTACTCCCGGCTCACACTGTATAACAATTCCGATATTTTTAGAAAAAACGCGAGTTTATAAAGAACTCGGTCCACAATCATAACACGCATTCTTTACGTCGTATCTTCATACGTCACGTCCCTTGAACTCGTCAATCAATTTAAAACTCATGTATTTTTCGATCCTTTCAAATTATGCAGTGGTACATCTATTAAGGGTATATGCCCTAGGTAACTTCTCTTTAAAGTAAAAAAATGAGTCTGTTATTGTGTACTTTATTATTCAGTTTTTATTTTAACTCGAACTTAATAGGAGTTGGTATTTTTACTTTGAGTATTCACTATGCCTTTACAAAATTGTCTTATGCATTATTTATTAATTTATTAAAAAGGCACATTAACGAAACATATACAAACACTTACAGAGAACACACGACTCCAAAAAAAATGTGTGTGTGTCTACTTATGTACACGCGTTAGAAGTTATACTTCTTTGGCAAAAATATTTTCAAAAAAATTATCTTTGGCTGTAGAAAAAACGACACCAACAATAGAAAAACTTTACTCTCATCATTTTTCCTTAACGCGCCAAAAGAAGTAGGTATAACTTGATGTTGACTATCGGTAACTTCAGGATGTCGGTTTATTGTGACGGAGTGCGCGCGCATCGTAAAAATTTACTCTCATCATTTTTCCCTAACGCGCCAAAAGAAGTATAATTTCAAAAAACTAAAATGTTGACTATAGCTAACTTCAGGATGTCGGTTTTTTGTGACGGTGGGCGCGCGCATCGTAAAAATTTACTCTCATCATTTTTCCCTAACGTGCCAAAAGAAGTATAACTTGTACACAAGTGTGCAAAACATTTACAGAGAAACATTACAATGATAAAAGAGAAAAGAAATTATACAATAAAGATTGGATTAAGAAATATAAATGTGCAATTCAATTTAATTTAAAAATTTACTTTATTACAACTTTGCAATTTTTGTTATTGGTGTCGGATCAACAGTGGCTTTTTTATATTAGGAAGATCAGTTTAGTTAGATTAAAATATAATACGACACTTTACAAAGTGCAGCAAAGAGCTCGAATCGAATCACGTGCTGGTCTTATGTATTACATGAGCCCACCTAGAGCGTATTACCCGCGACGATGATTGAAGACGTTGATTGCTAGCAGAGGCGTCCGTATATTACGCAATATATACTATCCGTTTGTCCTACGCCCCATTACACTTATTATAACTATACAATGTACTCGTACATAATAATTAGTCTGGTCATAAATACTGTTACAATTAAAAATAAACAAAATATTCCATTTGAATTTGGAATCTGTCATTTTCATATGATTGTTCATTGTGCTCATTTTGGCGCCAATATATTGTACAATATTTTGCTATATTTAAATGGAGTGGGGTGATAAAGAGAACCGAATCGCTGTGATTGCATTACACAAAGTAGTTATGGAGCCAAATACAATTTTTAAAACTCTCCATACGCTTGGTATTAGTAAAATATTTGTGTACCGGGCTATTAATAGGTACAATAATATCTCCTTTGTTTGTGACAGAAAAAGATCTGGCCGTCCACGTAGTGTTCCTACGAAAAAGGTGGTCAAAGCAGTAAGGGAAAGAATACGAAGAAATCCTGTCCGAAAGCAAAATATTTTATCTCGGTAGATAAAGAGCACCTAGAACGATGTCGCGTATTTTAAAAGATGACAGGACTGGTAGCCTATAAGAGACTTACTGGTAATTTCTTGACTGATAATTTAAAAAAGAATAGGGTGGTAAAATCGAAACAACTACAGAAGCGGTACGCAAAGGGAGGTCACAGAAAATTTTTGTTTACGGATGAGAATTTTTTTACAATTAAGCAACATTTTAACAAACAAAATGATATTTATGCTCAAAGCTCTAAGGAAGCTTCTCAATTAGTCAAGAGACTGCAATATGGTTTGGTGGGGTAGTAGCTATGAAGGAGTGTCTGAGCCATACTTTTGTGAAAAAGGTATCAAAACATCGGAACAAGTGTATCAAGATACCATTCTTGAAAAAGTATTGAAGCCCCTTAACAACACCATATTTATTAACCAATTATGGTCCTTACAGCATATTCGGCGCCGGGTCATAATGCTCGGTCTACGCAGTCTTGGTTGAAAAGGAACTCTTCGGACTTCATCAGAGCTAAAGACTGTAAAGGCAGTCGTCTAGTCACGATCTTAATCCGCTCGATTATGATTTATGGTCACTTTTAGAGAGTGCGGCGTGCTCTAAACGCCATGATAATGTGGAGTCCCTAAAACAATCCGTACCATTGGCAGTGAAGAATTTTCCCATGGAAAGGGTGCGTGCATAACTGGCCTCAACGTTTAAAGGACTGTATTGCAGTCAATGGAGACCACTTCGAATAAGCTTTTTACATTTCAAATTGTTATTAACTAACACACTGTAAAAGTAATTAATGTTATTTACAATAGGTTTTTTTTTCTTTTTTTTCAGTATTTATCGTAAGACTAGGAACATATACTAATACACCGATGTTTGCCTAGGACAGGCCAAGCAGCCAACGGCTCCAGCTTTGAATTGGTGCTGCAGGTGTCAACTGGCAGCCGCAAACACTGGTAAGTCAGAGGTTTCAGGATTTAAGTTTTTATACCCGATATAACGTTTTAGTTCAATACTTAAAATAAAATTTAATGTAATACGAGCATATTTTATTACGTCTGTTACGGATAAACTATTGTGTATAAATAAAAAAACACTTAATAAAAACCATATAATAAAAACAAGTACCTCTTTACATACAATTATTGGAAGGACTGTATGATGCCTAATAGAGCAGAGTAAGTGCCAGAGACTAGGCCTATGATGCCGACCACAAACAGAAAAGTGTCCTTCAGGAACATAAGAATGCGGGCAGTTCCAGGTGGTCGCGGGTACCAAAGACATGACTCCATCAGGGCGGGAAAACAGAAGCCCAAGGCGGACAGGCAGAGCGCACCAAACAGGGAGATGAAGAGGCCAAGTCGTGGAACCATCACTGCTACCACAACTAAAAATATACAGAAACGTGGTTCTTTTATTCCGTAACTCTGTATTGCAACTGCAACATCTGATATGAATAAATAAAATCTCTTGCCGATGATCTAGATCAAAAAAAAAGTTCGATCAAGCGTGCGTTCAAAGTACATAAGTCAGAAGTGAAACTTCTTTGTAAATTAATAATTACTAAGGTAAAAGCCCCAATAGATGATCATGTACGTGTATGTGATATGTATATATTTGTATATCAGCTACCCTGTTTAGACACTGTATACGTGCTAATGATAATATATACTGCTCAAAACAATTAGCGGAACAAGATTTTTCTCCTTTCTATTGCTTAAACTAAAATTAGATTTAAATTAACTTGTACGCTATTTTTTACCTTGTTAATTTGTTAATTACTACAATTAATAAAAAAATAAAAAAATCAATTTGTATTTTTTTTTTTTATTAAAAAAAAAATTTAAATGTGCATTGTAGACGAAAAACTAATTGGTGGTAAAAAAGGTCCATCAAAGAAATATTCTTATATCGTTTGAATATTCGTCTTTAGTGACTTTCAGTAACGTGTGTGGCCTCCATGAGCCCTAATCACGGCTTGACAACGACGCGGCATGCTTCGTATGATCCTCCGAATATCTTCTTGTGGAATTCGCTCCCATTCTTCAATCAACGCTTCAGTGAGCTACTGCAGTGTTTGAGGTGCAATCGGACGCTTCCGGATGCAGGAACTACGAAGGAATGGTCGCCCTACCAAACAGTTTGGTAGGGCGACCATTCCTTCGTAGTCAGCCGTACTGGACGTGTTTTTAGGAAGCGTAAGATGGATCGCAAAAGATTGTTGCACTGCTGTTATTGTTAAATAGATATAAAAAAAGAAGATTCTGGGTTCATCCATTTATTACGATTATGAACTCTGATGCAAACTTTCATAGACGCTCTTCCACGCATCTTGCTTAATAAATTTATTTTTAAAATTTTCATCACTTGTGTCCCAAAGGACGGGACGCTCCTCAATTAAAAATATAAAAAATCCATATCATATTCCGCAATTTTTTAAAAACAAAGAAGGCGGCGTAGGCGCCGCGTGTCTTTCTCTAAAGCTGTCTCAGAGCGGACTAAAATGGCGTCACCAAGGATGACGTAATATCGCAAGAATTTGCGATGCGAAGCAGATCGGAACTTCTTGCGGTGCGTTCGTGCGAATTCGCAGATATTTGCGATGCGATGCGAATTCGCAGTTTTGTGTGGGAGCCCTTACGCCTTTAGTACACCTACGCAATCGCATGCGGCAGCGAAACGACGAAAAAACTGTAAGTTGTATGGCAACGTTTCGCATGTGTTTTGTCTCGCTCTAATATATAGCTAGATGAAATAGTTGCGTCCTTGTCGGTATTGTTTCGCAAGTAACTGCGAAATGGCTGTTATGGCTGTCGTAAGTAATCTGACGTGATGGCTTCAGTATGCGGCCTGGCATTATCTTGCATTAAAAGAAAATCAGGGCCCATACCATATGCTGCGGGCCAAACATGATCTTCGAGCACATTTTCAATGTAAGTTTGAGCACACAAGCGCCCGGGAACAACGACGAGATCTGTGCGCTCGTCCAAACTAACTCCGCCCCAAACCATCACAGAGCCACATCCAAATTTGTCATATTCCTGGACTGCTGCTGCACTGTATCGCTCGCCTGGGCGTCTGTAAACACGGAGACGACCATCGCAACGTGTTAGACGGAATCGTGATTCGTCAGTAAAAAGCACTGGCCTCCAATGTCGAAGTTGCCAATTAGCGTGATTTTGCGCGAACTGTCGGCGAGCTTGTCTATGTTGAATTGTTAGACGCACAGCCTGAACTGGTCAGCGTGATCTCAAATTGGCTTCCAACAACCTATTTCTTACCGTCTGGTCGGAAATTTCTACACCAGTAGCCGTCCTTAGTGTATTTTGTAGATCTCTTGCAGTTGTGGTGCGGTTACGTAAAGCACAGTTGACGATGTAGCGATCTTGCAAACGTGTAGTTTTTCTTTTTCGACCTTGACCACACCTTCGTGAGTATTCTCCCGTCTCACGGTATCGCTTCCAAAGTCTGTAGATAACAGAAAAGGGCTACTCCTAGATCATTTCCTACATTACGCATAGTTCGACCCTCTTCAAGCAAAGCGATAGCTCGGGAGACATGCAATTCAGTCAGATCTGGCATTATGACCTAAACTCACTCGCTTCAATGAATAACAATACTCAAAAGGCTCACTTCAATTTCTATTAATACTCAAAAGATTGAAAAAAAAACTACTTAAAATGTGTTTTCAATGTGTTGTGATTAGAAAGTAATGAAAATTCAAAGACGTCACTTTGTTTTTCGTCTACAATGCACATTTTAATTTTTTTTTAATAAAAAAAATACAAATTGAATTTTTTTATTAATTGTAGTAATTAACAAATTAACAAGGTAAAAAATAGCGTACAAGTTAATTTAAATCTAATTTTAGTTTAAGCAATAGAAAGGAGAAAAATCTTGTAACTAAAGTTCTAATATGTAACTATTAAACGAATATATCAACTAATAGCGTGTATTTTTTTTTCGATTTCTCTTTCTCTCTCAATATTTCTTACTATAGTCTTACCCACCTCTCGCTCCATGGCACTGTGCGTGATGCCACGTTCGCTATATCTCACTCTCTCTCTCGATCTTTCTCAGTTGCTTGCTCCCTACTCTCGCTCCATAGTTATTTGCTTCATGCTACGTTCGCCCGTTCTCACTCTCTCTCAATCGGTCCCAATCACTCTCTCTCTTTTTTTCGACAAAAACGCTGCACATCATCGTGACGCTAATATTATTATCATTGTGTTTCATTCGTAAAATTTTTATCCTCATGCGCCTAAAGAAGTTTCATTTCAAAAAATTCAAATCGATCCTTTTTTTATTGCAGACAGAATTTTTGAGTCCCCAGGAATCGAGATCCACGAATAGTTAGGGAAATCCATATGAGTAATTATTGAATGGCTCTAACAGGTAAGTACGCCAAGTCCAACGCGTAGCGAAATTTCGCAGCATTTCAAACGCGCTTGGCTCGCTCCCTGCATTCGGGGCAATAAGTAATCATTCCACAACACGTCCACCGGCACGTAGCAGTGTAATCCGTAGCTAATGAATATCGCGAATACGTAAAGGATAATGGCAACGGTTGTAGCTCTGCAACAGACATTAGCATACAATTTACACCTACTCGTAAAGATACTCTTGATACTGTTTAAAATATTTAACAAATACCTACTTCTCAAACAAGAAATTTTAACTTTGTGATATAACGATATTCTAAAAACTTAAATTGATTGCTTGTCACTATAAAGTCTAATGAAAATAACTGCAAACTCTAAAACATACGTACGCCCCAGGCGGAAGATCTAAAGTGACTACGTCACGGCACTCGGAAACACAGAATATGTAGCCAATATAGCCAATCGCAATGAAAAGCGTGGTGACGACCGCCATGCCGATATGCAACACGCCGCACGGCCGACCAAACGATTTTGGCGTTTTCATATTATTTTCCACCGCCACCACCTACGGTATTATATAAAAACTAATTTTATTTATAAGTTCCTAAACAATGTGTATGCATAAAATTATACAAGAAAATCACATCTTGATCTCTCATCACAAATTTTACACATAAATCTAATATTAGAACATAAATATCAAGGGAAAAAATTAAATAAGCAACCACAAAATAAAAAATAATAATAATAATTAAAGTAAAAAATAATAACTAAAAATAAATTAAAACTTAAACCTCATTCTTAATGATATGATATATGCATGATAAACAAAGTTAGTTTGAAGATTGTTATAAAATATATCAATATTTTCATCAAAATTAGTAATCAAGTTGTTAGAGCGAGATAGCCTATTCACTCGACCATTAAAAGCAGCAGATAAGCGAGCCTTTTATTTCTAGAAACTGTAGAATTACAAAGAAAGGAAAATTTTGTAAGAAGGTTATATGAGGAAATACATCCATTCGTTAACATTAATATTCAAAGATAAACAGGTTTACGACTAACTTTTCTACCTTATTAAGTATAATCTAATAATGCAGTAATAATATAACTGTGGTCATAGATCAGACAATGATAAGTACATTCATTCATATATCGAGTGGTTTATATTTCAATGGTGTTTTCAGGATTTCTTGATAATTTAATTGCTTGTCCTGTAGAGTAATGAAATTGCATTTATCATATTCTGACCAATGGCCACAGAACCATTATATTTAGTGTAGTCAATATTTGAGATGATTTGCATAGAGTAACAATATTAAAAATATTATTAAATATTTAAAAAAAGGTGGATAGAAGAAATAAAAGCGGTAGCAGGAAACGAATGGAGAAAGAGAGCCATAGGCAGAGTCAGTTGGTAAAAGCTGGAGGTGGCCTTTACACGTGAAGGGGTTCCGATCAACGGTACTGAAGGAAGCTAGGATATAGGATAGCAAGCAAAAGAAAAAAATATGTAAAATAATCTAAGCTGTGTATTATAATTTGTTTTTGTCATGATTGGAAATAAAACGGGGTTTATTATTATTAACAATATTAAAGGTTTTACTTACAACACCGACAGCCGTGAGCGCAAACACGATGGTGCCAAAGAACAGTGGAAACGTTGATAGTGAGCCCCAAAGATCAAGAGGCTCGGTTGAACGCTCCATAGTCAGGAGAAAGTAGATCACAATAATAAGGCTGGTGAGTGTAGCGAGATTAGCAGCGCCAGAAAATGGCGCTAACACCTTCAGATTTGGGATCATGTTTAGCGCGATGAGCACGGGCAATTGAAACAGCATGTGCATCTCCACAGAGGCCACGAAATGCGGATCTAACAACTGCATATCATAAATTTTATTGATATTACTTATTTATTATGAACTAGCTAGCTAGAGTCGGTTCTTGAATATTTTTTTTTACTAAGATAAATAAAGAAAAAAGAAAGTTGATAAGTCAACAATTACATTGTCAAAAAATTCAAATTAGGCAACACTTAAAATTCTTGTCATTTCTTCCTGGAACCCCTATTATATAAGTATTATTACGAATCTTTTGTATGGGAATATAGAAAAGTGTTGTTTTTAGACTGTTTCAGTCAATTTTTTTAAATTTTCTATCCGTAAAGCACCATTTACACGAGGCAATTTTCTTGCCTGTAGCATACAATTTTATTGACGCAATAAATGAGTTGAATGGACTAAACAAAACGTAACATTCTTGATCAATGGGAAAAGTTTCCTTTCATAACTATGCTTGATGTAAACAGCATTTATAATAATTTCTTACAGAATTCTTGTACGCAATTAACTCTTCATTTTCAAACATGAATGAACTTTATTATATCAGCAGAACTGAATTTAAACACCTTTTTACTCATATTCACACCTCTCTGTTGGATGGTTCCAATCTTTTAAGGGGACTGACCTCTGGTGGTGATCGTCTATTTTAAAAAACAATAATTTATGTTTATAAAGAGCCAAAGATGTTACGCTGTCCGCGTCTAGAATAGAAGTAGTGTAAACAAAAGACAGAAACTATCTTTCTATATAAAATTCAAACAGGTATTCTAACATTCTAAACTAAAACTTTTTCTATACATGTGACAAGTGTTGCCTGCCATTATTTACATATTCAAACTCCAACACTCTCTTCTAAAATATGACTTGAATGAGACTTGAATTTAAAAAAAAAATTCGCCAACGCCAATACGTGCAATACTTGAAAGCATATTATGGTCTAAGATCCCGATATACAACGACCTTCACCGAGATGCTTATTTAATGAAACGTATTTTATATTTAATTTAATATGTCAATAAATATAATCCATATGGGTTGCCTAGCAAATTTCAGTCCAGAGTATTTTAATTAATATTAAAAAAAAATATTTTTTTAAACATTTCACCGGTATGATTATTAGATAATTTCTATACCAATCGAAAGTATGAAGCCCATAGAATATGCAAACGTTAGGTTGTTTTTAATCAATTATTTATGTGTATATTTTTTATGTGACACTAAAGTATATATACATCTTTAGTAAAAAAAGAAAGTTATAGTGATACATATATAATACTACCCTGATTAAAAATATTGATTGAAAAAAATTAAAAAAATTTACTACATGTAAATTATAAAAAAAAATTTTTTTTAAATATTAATTAAACATTCTCTGGACTGAAATTTGCTAGGCAACCCATATGGATTATATTTATTAACATATTAAATTTAATATAAAATACGTTTCATTAAATAAACATCTCGGTGAAGGTCGTTATATATCGGGATCTTATACTAATACTACGAAAGCGCCAGTAAATGGTATACGCACGTACAAGCCTGTGTTTAGACAAGTCAAAACTTGTAAGCAATAATCTCCTAAAATTAGTTGTATTGATGTAAACAAAAGGCATGTGCATTTATTTCCTTGTCAAAACTTGAATACAATAATTGCATTCATGTTTTCAAGTTTAAACAGTTGCATACAATTCTTAAAAGTCAATTATTGCGCTTCATTTATTGCATTCAATTATTGCTCTGGTATGTACAAGAAAATGGCATCGTGTAAATAAGCCTTAAGAACCATTCTCGTACTTCAAGGAACATTATAAAAAAAGAATAAGCGAAATCGGTTCAGCTGCTATCGAGATTTACAAATTCAGCGATACATTTTTATATTAAAGTAGAAATCAGTTTTAAACATCAAAAATATTTGTATATACCAAGAATATGTTCTCACCTTCTTAACGTTATCAGCAACGAAGACGATATAGACGCAACACACACCTAGTTGGTAAGTTATTAGAAAGAAATCTATGGCGACGGCGGAGGGTGCTCCGAGTGGACGCAAGGCTTTCGGTCCAAGATTAAAAGTAACGCGCGCCGCTTCAGGATACGACATTAAAGGTACGCGCTTTGCCTTGCATGCACCATACTGCGCTCCGATTAGCACCTGAAGACAGTGGGTCACCAAAATCGCCACACATATTGTTGAGATAACGCCGGTGATCAGGCCAGCCTTGGCAAACGCTTGCGGCATCGCCAGGATACCTGTACCCAGACCCAGCCGCAGTACGTGAAACAGCGTCTCAAGGTCACTGTGGAAATAATGAAATATTATCGTCACTGTAGAATGATAACCTTGTATATCAAAAAAAAAAATTATTTTATTCTTAGACTTATGTGATGTAACTGGTATAATCATGATGTAGGGACTTATTTATGTTATTAATAAATAAGTCGTTTTTACAATCCAAAACTATGGCCAAAAACACATATATTTTAACGAACATTGACGAAATGAAACATTTTTTTCTTTTCCAGCCTTGCGATTCTGTAACTCACTTTTCGAACTTACACAGCGGTTTTCGCAGCGGCGGTCGCCTCAAATCAGCCGTGAAGCAGTCATTTTATGATTTGGCATTCTGATAAACAATAAACTACAATCTCCCTCCTCATCAAAGTGAGTTACAGAATCGCAAGGCTGTAATGTTTGGTTCTCTAGACATACGAGGTTATCATTCTACAGCCACGTTATGTTAGATAAATACATGTGTTCAGCGAAAGTAATTCATGTTTTTAATTTTACTTACTTGGTGGGGTTTGCTACTTGACGAAATTGATGAGGGTCGTAGTCATCTCCCAGGTCCACTCTAAAACATGTAGAAAAAATTAGCAGATCTTCGTGTAAACGATTCCAATATTCATTATCTAGGACAATCTTAGAACTAGTTTGATGACCTGCGCGATGAAGGAGATCCAGCTTCCGAACGACGAGGACGTCCACTGTCTGTCTCCCGTCGAAAACAATTTAGGTCCTCGCCACTTTCCCTTTGCATTTTGAAAGTTTTTCCTGTCAAAGTATAAGTTATATATAATACTAGCTGACCCGGCAAACGTTTGTTTTGCCATGTATATTATTTATCGGAAACATTATTTTAATTCAATAAAAATAACGATCGACTATAAAAAAAAAATAGGGGTTGATCGTAGAGGGGTGACAATTAAGGGTTGAATGTATTTTTATATTCTGTATCATAAAAAAATAAAAACAAAAAGTTTTGTCTAAAAAATACAAATTTAGGGGTGGGACCATCCTTAACATTTAGGGGGATGAAAAATAGATGTTGTCCGATTCTCAGACTTACTGAATATGCATAAAAAATTTCATAAGAATCGATCAAGCCGTTTCAGAGGAGTATGGGAACGAACATTGTGAACTTGAGAATTTTATATGTTAGATAATATATGTTAGGGAGTGTAAAGATAACAAATATTTTAATCCGCTCAGCTCTTATCAACTCACCAGTGTTATGGAATTATGCGTTATTTGCAGTTTTTCTCCTAACCAGTCGCTGTTTACTGTAGTAAATGTTTCAAATTAAGTCAATAAACTATTCGATGTTTGAGCAATAAGAAATTTAATTAAGAATTGAATTTAAAATGTCATTATAATAACCTTTTCTTCATAGGTTCATATATAGATAATATTACTTAGCTTATTAAAAATTAATGTTGAAACTCCAAAAATTAAAATTATTATTAAAGTAATGTTGAAACTCTGATATTATATTATTTAATAAAAAAATGTTTAAATTTTGAAGTGATAATTATTTTCAATAAAGTGCTGATGACAGATAATTTTCTGACAGAAAAATAATAAAGTAAATTAAGAAGAAAGCTTTCGTTATCTGTTGAAGTTGCTTTATTCTTTATTCTTCGTTTTTGATATTCAATTCTGCGAAGAAGTTACTGTATCAAACTATGACAGCAGTTATTCCAGCGTAGTGGATCCTGTCAGATCAGAATGCATTATTTAAAGATTATTCAACTCTTATGTGTTGGGATTTGATAATATCAAATAAATGTTATGATTAAACGGCTATTGTTTATTCAGAGCGTGAAAAAAGGCCCTCAAAATGTTCGTGTACGAATTTATGGCTGGAATAGTGGACACAATCACGGGAGGTGAGTAAGCAAAATAATTGCTTCTGATATCCTGAGTGGCTCTAATATGTGCGCGTTTTTAGCTGAGGAAGATGAAGAAACCTACGACCCGCATCAGCACCGGAAAGTGGAAAAACCAACATCGTGAGTAATGCCATAATTAAAACTACCAAATACATAACCAACATTATATACGTTTTAAGATAGCAGTGTTAGCCTAGTCGCTCCAGAGGTCGTAGGTTCGATCCCGGCTGTGCACCAATGGACTTTCTTTCAATGCGCATTTAACATTTCCTCGAACGGTGAAGGAAAACATCGTGAGGAAACCGACATGTCTTAGACCTAAAAACTCGACGGCGTGCGACATGCACTGAAGGCTGATCACCTACTTGCCTATTAGATTTAAAAATGATCATGAAACATTCAGAAATCTGAGGCCAAGACCTAAAGAGGTTGTAGCGCCACTGATTTATTTATTTATTATACGTTGTAAGAGTGCGGAGAGTTTATTGCCAGTTCTTGTTTTTCTACGCCCTTTATTTGAGAACTGGCAGTAAATGTAAAATTAGAAGCATTTAATGTACTTATATTTCTTTATTGACGTTCATAAGTGTACATTGTGTTACCTATATGAATAAATGATTTTTGACTTTTGAAAAGAGAACATCTCTTGATGACCCGAGTTTAACAGCCTATATCATACATGCAGGTACTCGGACACCATGATACATCTATTGAAGGGTAGCATAGGAGCTGGAGTGCTATGTATGCCAAGTGCCGTGGCGCGTATGGGTGTACCTGGCAGCATCATCTGTCTCACACTGATTGGCACCTTTGCGGCTTATTGCATGCATATGCTGATTGGTGCTCAGTATAAGATATGTAAACGTGCTCGCCGTGGCTATGTGGCCTATCCGCGCTGCATGTTTTTAGCCGTACAGGACGGTCCACCGGCCCTTCGCTGGGCTGCTTCACCTTTATACTACTTCGTTGACGGAGTACTCGTACTATGGCAACTCGGCATCTGTTGCATTTACTGTGTTTTCGTCTCAGAGAATGTTAAACAGGTGTGCTTTTCAATTTTTCACTCGTTAGTTGAAATTTTATAAGCAATTTTCAATAATACCCATAAAGGCCTGAATTCACTTTGATTAGTGATTAGTGCAGGTGATTAGTTGTCTACGTAGTAACGTGATTAGAAGCGTGTTCTATTTTTTTGCGAGTGAACTGCGAGTAGCCACGTCACTCCCTTCCCCCACACTCGCAGCGTGCCTGCCAAATCACGTCTGGACATGCAGCAGTAAGCAAAGTAATATTCCGTCGTATCTTCAGCAGCTAATTCCTTAAAGAGTTCGTAGCTTGCGCCATGAATGGGCCTTCTATTAATCCATTTTCGAAGCCATACTTATTTTGGTCTTGCAAGTTCAGCTTCTAAAACTAATTCGGTTTCTGATAGTACCACGTTTAATACTTCTTTCAGTAATTCTTCCAATTGCAAGCGCGCTTCTCGATGTTTCTCCATACTTGCTGATCGACAACTGAATTTTCTTAACAGAGCCACTAAACAAGAATTGGACACTACTTGCACTACACACCTGCACTAATCATCCTCAATTACTAATCACTTGCACTCGCACTAATCAAAGTGAATACAGTCCTTAAGAATATACTGAATACACATTATTTTATAAACATTTTACATTCCTTTACTTATCAACGTGTTAAATTTTGCAGGTATTTGACTTCTACGGTGCTGAAATATCGTTACGAGCACACCTTTGCGTACTCCTGATTCCGCTTACACTATTAGGATTAATAAAGGATCTAAAGCTAATGACTCCACTGTCCACGGTTTCCAACGTTGTAACAATGCTCGGCTTTATTTTGGTCTTCTTTTACCTTATCGAAGATGACGTGGATTTAGATGATGATAAGCTTCGATTAAAAACTCTTTTAGACATACCTGTGTTCATTGGAACTGCTTTGTTTGCATTAGAAGCCGTCGGAGTGGTGAGTGCATTTCATTGTTAAAATGTTTTTGATCAAATACGTAAAATAACGTTTAGTAATGGCAGGTCCTAGCATTGGAGTACAATATGGAGGAACCACGACGGTTTGTGGGATTATGTGGATTGTTTAATATTGGCATGCTAATAATAATTACGTTATATCTCACGATGGGAGTGTTCGGTTATCTTAAATATGGAGATGATATCAAGCCTTCCATTACTCTCAACCTGCCGCAAGAAGAGAAGTGAGTTTACCCTTTTGTTTCGAGGTTACGACAGCTATACTATCTTGACTCTGACATAAATTGCAGAAAAGCGCAGGCTGCCAAATTAACCTTTGCGTTGGCAATATTCTTGTCCTTTCCTCTGCAAAATTTTGTTGCTTACTCCATTCTGTGGCGGAAGATTAAAAAGAAAGCAACGACATCAGCAAAGAGTACATTTGTCTTGGATTACACATTGCGATTGATATTAGTACTTGTTCCATGTAAGTATGATAAAATACTAAAGATATGAATATATAATATGCGGTAATCAGAAAATTTATTCATTCCTCAAAATAATTAACCGATGATAACATTTTATCATCGGTTTGACAAAAATATTTCTAAATAATTTCTGGTATTTGATTCAGGGGCTGTTGCGGTGGCAGTGCCTCGACTGGGTCCGTTCATTTCGCTGTTTGGTGCATTCTGTCTTTCTCTACTGGCAGTGGTATTCCCTGGTCTCTTAGACGCCTGTCTGCGCTATCCGAGCGAGTATGGCCCGGCACACTTCCGTCTCGCAAGGGACATACTTATCGTTTTATTTGGCACCGCTTGTCTTGTCTCAGGGTGCTATACCAGCGTACTGGAGATTTTTGACCATCACTGATCTCAACATATCTTTCTTGAAGCCTATATGACCATTAAATTATGGAATTAGTTGTTACCCTTATTTTCTTTGTATTTTGTTTAAGAGATTTGAAGCAAAATAAAATCACATTATATTTTAAAAGACGTATAATTTTAACAATATAGTTTTTTTAAGAACTTGATACTTATCGTCAAAGATGTTGAGCGCCGCCTTGGGCTAATAAATATTTTGCGCGACAGTTAAGCGGTATTACCCAGCGCTTAAGATCCTTGTCGACAACTACAGCGGAGCGGTATGATAAAGTTTATCGTGCTGCCCGACGTAGAGCTCTATGCAGCCGGTCGATATGTGCTAGCTGGCGGAGGTGCCGCAGCAACAGCCGCAATTGTGTGGCATTCAGCTCACCTGCACACCTACTGCATCGCGCGCAGACGTTCTCTGTAATTACAAATTATCTGTTAATTAGTTACATTATTATGCTACCAAGTGATGTGTAATTAGTAAATCTGTGTAAATTTAGCATGAAACACTCCTTTATTCCTTGATTGGCTTCATCGTGCAACTGTCATACCTGAGGTCGTAGGTTCAATCCCCGGCTGTGCACCAATGGACTTTCTATGTGCGCATTAAACAATTGCTCGAACGGTGAAGGAAAACATCGTGAGGAAACCGACATGTCTTAGACCCAAAAAGTCGACGGCGTATGTCAGGCACTGGGGTCTGATCACCTACTTGCCTATTAGATTTAAAAATGATCATGAAACAGATTCAGAAATCTGAGGCCAAGACCTAAAGAGGTTGTAGCGCCACAAATTTATTTTTACAAGATTTTCGTAAGTAATACAAATATATGAAAATTTAAAAAAAACTCACTTTCTTCTTTATCTGACGACTGTTTTTTATTACCTACATCAGACCTGAAACCATACAGTTTATAAGCAAAGTAACGATTTAATTTATAAAAAATTTCAATGATGAACTAACAATGCTTCTTTATCTTCAAGTTTCTGGCTCACTTCATTGTTTTTGCCTTGAGCGCTTTCTGCACCAACATCAGCATCCGGAACGTCGTCTTTAAGTCTAAATCGTTAAATAAATAACATTAATTTATAAATAATAAACATCTGTTTTTTCATTTTAAGTACATATGCATTACAATGTGTAATATTTGGGAACCCTTTTAAGTAATAAATTCCTTAAAATATATTTATACATAATTTAATTACATAAGTTATCAACACGCCTGAGTTTATGAGTGAGTGTGTGGGTGGAAAAGTGTAAGTGAGTGAGTCAGTGAGTGAATGAAAAAAGTGTGTAACCACATACTAGGTCTCAAAAGCATCTCTAACACTGCGCAAGGTATGCTCAGAAGCCAGTCCTTTAGTCGTATCTTTACATTGTAGACGGTGAGCGGGTAGATATCAAGCAGCCTATTTATAAACTGAGATATTTCTTTTCTATTTTAATGGGGCAGGGATCAAACGAGCAGGCTGGTCACTTATGAGAAGATCTCAATCTGATTCGAATCAGCGCTAAGTACGAATCCCGCTAAAAACAGTTTTTTTTTTTGACAATTCACACCAGTTTGAGTTTGGCAAATGTAAGATGTACTTAACTTACAGCCTTGCGATTCTGTAACTCACATTTCGAACTCGCACAGCGGCGGTCGCGCTCAAATCAGCCGTGAAGCAGTCATTTTACGATATGTTATTCTGATAAACAATAAACTACAAGCTCCCTCCTTATTATCTTGCTTTGCTCTAATTACATAAATATATTAGATATTGGTATATTATTATATTATGTCAAAATATTTATTTATCTACACACAAATCTTTCAAGACTTCTTTACTTACCTGTTAGTTATGTTACGTTGTGTTGTGTTATGTTTTTTATAAAAAAAATCCCCGATAAGAAAATAAGACCCTGATATAAACGCATTGCGTCAATTATGAGTGAGACAATGTTAATAATTAGTTTCGTTACTTGACATGCGAAAGTGAGACGTGCGCTGAATGTAATGCTAGTGATTTCATTAACGTTCGCAACACGTATCTAGCTGCACGACGAGCAGAGCGCGAGGGCCTTTTCGTAGGGCGGGCGGAATGTTCCTTAGAGCGCGAGCGGCAGGCAGCTTGACGAGTGGGTGGTAATGCAACCAGCGACACGGGCTGAGTCGGTGGGGCGGACGAGAAATAGGAAAGCGTAGTGCTGTAATGTGAAAGAGCTATAGAGTTTTATTATTATTAGAGAAGTGAGGTTATCTGTTTACATAAAGATAAACAAAATACCTGAAACGATCAACCTATTTAAATATAATAAATGCCAGTTATTTTAGAATAAACGAAGACGAAAATCTCTAAAAATTGATATTTCGACGAAAACAAACAGCTTATGTTTAGTAGATTTTTATGAAATATTTTAGCAAAAACCTTGAGAAATGACTTACGTGAATGCAAGACTGAGAGGTGGTGGCATTACCAGTGGTCGTGGGGATGATAACGGACTCCAAAAGTCTTGCAGCGTAGCTTCCGCCCCCTGGCGACTGCAAGGTGAGGCTGAGGGACTGCGCCTGCGTAACGGACTCTCGTCGCCAATTTTTTCTGCGTCCTTGTTTGTTTTGCATCTGTAAAAATGCAAATACATTGTTGTCCTAATTTGTTATTTTATTTACTCGTATGTGGAAAGGTAGCGTTCAAGTATTACGTCACGCAATTTTTGGAGATTATTGTCCCCCCCTACCATGTAACGCGCCGTAACGTTTTTATGTACCCAAGTATAGTAAACGTTTCGTGACCACCTAGTGACTCATTATGCCTAAAAGTTACCATACCATTATGAAGTGCAAAGTACTGGAAAGTCGAAAATAATATTAACAATAACGCGTAATTCAATCCCCGCCCCGCATCGTAATGTTTTACAAATTTATTTTAATCACTTCCTATGTGTCAGATAGAGTACAACTTCAGAGCTTAGGGATCAGTCGTGTTGTTAGATTCTAACCCTCTCATATGTTTAGTAATTTAGTGTTTACACATGCTAAATTTACTAAATATAAATTTCTGACACATCACAAATAGATTTAAATGCAGTTTTTACAGTCCACCGCAAGCTGAAGCAATTCAGCGCACTTCAAATATATGTTAATGATATTTTATTTTATTCGTATATCAAATAATGTAATGCTATCTTAGCCTTTATACTCACCGCATACGCACGGGAGATGAACGAGATCGTCGACGAGAGCGCCGAACGCCGAACGAATCTGTGGTGCAAATTAAAAAAAATACAAATTGTGGCTAAATCAATCGTGACCAAGATTTCTTCTGCTATGAGAAAGAGAGATATGCTAGAGATGAGCCACCGTGTTTTCTAGAATTAAAGACACATGAATTGACCTTGATTAAATATTTATATTAGATATTACCCTTAGTACATTTTGGTATTTCATTCATTAAGTCATGGTTCTGTAAAGATTACCAATGAAGCAGACGTACCAATATCAGAGCAATTGCACTTGCGGTATCAGCTGCATTTGTCATTATAATTGAATAACATCAAAGTCGAATTAGTTCAAAACCGCTATATGGTTTATTTTTTTTCCAATATTAATTAAAGCCTACTTGATAGTATATAGTAATAACATTATTAAAGTTAAAGCAATGGCAGCCATTACTCCAGACTATCAAACTAGTCGTTAATTTGTAGATCTATTATAAATAACAAGAACCAAATAACTGTTTATCCATATATCTTTGATGTTATTAAAGATAATGAAAATGGCAGCGGATACCAGCGCTCCGACTTATATACATATTATGTGTGCTTCTCTATTTGAAGTGTCTTCGTGTCTTTATTTATCTTTGTTACGGACAACGAACAATACAGTTTAGAAAGCCGACGAACGAAGCTGCCAGCCAGATGTTCTTCTAGGAAACGGTCGGCGGGACGCAGGTAGCGGAAGGGCCGGTCGGTCCCTTTGACCAGAGTGGTAGTTTTAGGTTTAGTTTTAAGCTATTATTTGTATAGTAGCGTCAGATAGATTTACGCAGCCGTGCCGGACGGACGTTAGTTATAAGCTCGCTTCGCTGTATTATTATGTGTCACCATCACTAACGTTCGACCAATAAACGGTAACAATTATAACTCCACTCCGAGTTTCATTTCGAGAATAGCGGCGGTGGTTCAGATCGACACCGTACGCTTATAGTTTGGTCCTTCGAGCCGGATAACCAGAAGAATAATACTCTACGCATTAACGCCGAGAAGAAGGAAGATTTTACCTGCGATCCCAGGAAGATTTTCATCGGCAGTACTACCTGTGATCCCAGGAGTACGTGCAGAGGGTTGACTTCATTGCCTGTACAAAGTGACGCACCGCATCGACGTATTGCTGCTGTGGGTCGCCGACGGAAAGCATTGTCCACCAGTTCATGGAAGGGAAGAATACAATCGACTTCAAAATGAACACAAGAAGCCAAGCTAAGAGGGCAGAAGAAATCGATGAAGATGTACGGACAGAATACATGCCGTTAGAATCACCATCGAAAGTACTACAACGAAGACTAGCCGATATTACACACGACAGGGAATCAGTTGAACCAATACGGAGGAATGAAGCCGTTGATTCAACGTTGTTAACTGTGGGTTCAGCATCACAGACCTCTAGAAATACGATGAGGTCGAAGGCATCCCGTGTAAGGCAAGCTGAATACGAAGTCCACAAACGCTTGGTCGCATTAGAAAAAGAATATTTAAGAAAAAAGTTCGAATTAAAGAAACAGGAGATGGAACAAGAGATGGAGCTTGAAATGAAATTGTTAAAGAAGCGAATCGCCGTTGAGTTAGCCAGAGCAGACGGTGAAAAGAGTATCGTCAAAAGCTTGCCAGAACAGCGGAACGGGAGCAATTCCACTGTTATGGTAGATAAACGGCTAAGACAGCATAGCGGCGAGAATAATCTATCTCAGGGTGATAGGGAAGAAGACACAGTGCACGCAGAACGCGTGAAGCTATGCATACAGAATGTGTCTTGTGAAATAGAACGGTCTATATCACCTATCGAAGAGGCCTCCGTGCCGAGAACGCGATCCCAAGATCAAGGGATGGAACGGCTCATCGGAGCCTTTGAAAAACTGGCTACAAACAGACCCCCTGTACGACATGCTCAAGATCTGCCGCAGTTTAACGGGAATGTCTGCGACTGGCTTTACTTTAAAGTTGCTTATGAAGACTCCACGAAGCTCTACAAATACTCTAAAGCGGAAAACATGGCAAGATTACGCACATGTCTTACGGGAGCCGCTAAAGAAACAGTCGCCGTATTATTGAGTACTGCTTGCGATCCCGAGCTTATTATGAACGCACTAGATCAGTGCTATGGGCGACCGGAGATTATAATTGATAAAGCGCTAGATGAAATTAAGCGATTACCCAGACCGGGATATACAGCGGTTAAATTTGACCAGTTTGTAATAAAAATATACAGTGGGAAGAAAAATAAACCGACTGCATCTTTAACCCGATTAGGCTGGATTTTACATGGTACAGCACCTATACGAAGTTTAATGGAAGACAACGAACGTGTTTTGCACTGCATAAAAAAGGCGGCAGAAAGCGACGTTTACAAAGAAACAATAGATGAGCGTCTAGAGGCGATATTAAAACAAAGTTTTGCAATAGATGCCTTGGGTATAAATAATAAAAAAAGGTTAACAAGTGCCGACGCACGTGCAGTTCAATTTTTCAATACAACAATAGAGAAACGGGAAAGGCGTTACTGCCTGGGGTTGCCGTGGAAGACTGATAACACGAAATTCCCAGAAAGCTATAATATGTCATTTAATCGGCTTAAAAGCATTGAACGGAAAATGGATCAGTCGTATGAGTTTAAAAAGTCGGTGTCTCAGTTAGAAAATGTACAGACACTGTCTTTAGTGGTACCTAGATGGCATATTTACACGAGGGGAGCAGAGATACAATTGCATGTGTTCTGTGACGCATCTAAACAAGCACATGCGAGCGTGGCATATTGGCGAATTAAAACCGATGTAATTGACGACAGGTTCATCACAGCGAAAGCACCAGCTGTGGCATCTATTAAGTTACAGAGTGAACAGCGGCAAGAGCTACAGGCAGCCCTTATCGGAGCGAGATTAGCTGTGGCTATTAGAGAAGGTCACAGAATTGAACCAATCAAGATCGTGCTATGGATGGATTCAACGACGGTATTGCAGTGGATCAGAAATGACAAAGCGAGGCATCCACCATTCGTAGGCCCAGCGTTCCTTTACGGCCCTGAAGAAACATGGCCAATAGCAAGCTTCGAGCCACAAGCGCTGACTTTGACCGTAGTCGTAAGGAGAGCCAACAGAAACGATACAGATATAGAAAAATTCTCGCAGTATGAACGGGTGATTAGAGCCACAGCTTACGTACAACTATTTATACGTAAGCTTAAAGATCATAGTGGCCGATTAAGCGTAAGCGATCGGTTACTGCGTGTACGTGTGCGATTAAAAATACAGATAACAGAGGTGACAAGGAATCCCATTCTATTGGATTGGCGTCATACGCTTACAAAAGGACGCCGTAATAAAAAGCCATGGGGCGCGATTCTTACGTGCCTAAGTACTAGAGATGTACATAATGTTGAGATAGTTGCGTTGAAACACGTTACCAAAAGAACGTGGAAAACGGCGCAAGCATTAGCAGAGGAATTTTCGTTGTCCTACCTACGGAAAGCTTCACGTCATAGGAAGGTTTCGCTGAGGGGAGACTGTTACGGACAACGAACAATACAGTTTAGAAAGCCGACGAACGAAGCTGCCAGCCAGATGTTCTTCTAGGAAACGGTCGGCGGGACGCAGGTAGCGGAAGGGCCGGTCGGTCCCTTTGACCAGAGTGGTAGTTTTAGGTTTAGTTTTAAGCTATTATTTGTATAGTAGCGTCAGATAGATTTACGCAGCCGTGCCGGACGGACGTTAGTTATAAGCTCGTTTCGCTATATTATTATGTGTCACCATCACTAACGTTCGACCAATAAACGGTAACAATTATAACTCCACTCCGAGTTTCATTTCGAGAATAGCGGCGGTGGTTCAGATCGACACCGTACGCTTATTTATCTTATTAGTCAACTTACGATGGTAACGTTTTAGTGGTTCTAAGGCAGTAGGCACGTACTGTATACCTCCATATTGAACTTTGCCTTCCCCAGCTCCACCTCGTACAGCTCCACCCAGTTCCGAAACATGGCTAAAAATCCATATAAGCTAATGATTATGTACAGAATATGGTTCAAAATATAGATATATTATTAATTTAGCTTAGCCTATAAAGATAGTATGTATTTAAATATCATAAAACTGAAAACTTGTTGATACAGAACATTTATCGAGGAAAGCTATAGGCGACATTACAAACTAACAAAAGTGAAGTCACAGGACACAACGAGTAACTCATAAATAACCATAAAAATAGGTTTGCATCAATAAATAAAAACATTTCACTTCTTAAAAACCTTGGTACTGGATGCTTCATCACATAAACCATTTAACCTACGGTAATGAAATAGGATACATTTATTCCACGATAATAATTTTAGTAGTCAAAAATATAGATGGTCCCAAATTTCAAGAAATAGTTGTGTCGCTTTGACATACCTGCTAGAGTTACAATAGATCCCTACTGGCTGGAAAACTTCTCAATCGTAAAAGGTTTTACAAGATAGTTAAAAGTTTATTGTTTTAATACCTATAAATGAAATGAATTATGAATAAGGGTGTTTTCCCTTGTTATGAGAGCTTCTCGTGATGGAGTTCTGAATGCGGATGAAAAGTAAATATTAGTAATCCAATATTCAAACGCAAAGGTGGAAAGAGAGTGAGTCGGTAGATCCCAAGCAAATGCGCGTGGTATTCTTGCTATGCAGCGAAGTTTATTTGTTTATTCATTTAAATACATATGCATTACAATGTGTAAGATTTGGGAACCCTTTTAAGTAAGAAATACCTGTGTCTCTCTTAAGTATAAATTCCTTAAAATATATTTATATATAATTGAATTACATCTTTTATTTTATTTACTTTTCAACTGTTATCAACACGCCTGAGTGCATGAGTGAGTGTGTGGGTGCAAATGTGTAAGTGAGTGAGTGAGTCAGTGAGTGAATGAAAAAAGTGTGTAACTACATACTAGGCCTCAAAAGCTCTGACACTGCGTAAGGTATGCTCATAAGCCAGTCGAGTCTTTAGTTCGAATCTTTAGATTGTAGACGGTGAGCGGGGAGATGTTAAGCAGCCTATTTATATATATAGTCTGCTTGCATATTGCGTCTGGCGAAGTCAGTCCTTACGGTCTGACCGACGACAACATCCCTATTTCATTTTAGGTACAGCCTTATTATATCAAACGGGAGCGCTCTGTGTGTTTTTAAAATAAGACTCAGGAACAAAACAGTGTAAGCGTCGTGAAATTAGCTGAAGTACTTACTTGTTATTCTATTTTAATTTATAATATTCATTATTTCATATACTTGTCTTTATAAGTTTGATTTGATAAACATATAATTTAATCCAAATTATGTGGATAACAATTGCACTAAAAATCAATTTTTACCCCTTCCTATCTTCATTTCCACATTACGAAGTTTCACTTCTTCCGCGCGGTGGGGATTCCACGCAAAAATATTATGTAAAGGCACTAATAACTTTTTGCAAACTAGAGTAAAGTGTGATTTGCTCCCAATCGACGTCTCCTCAATGTGCTTTTTAACTGCCATAAACAAAAGAATCACGTCACAGACAGTTTCAGTAAGTTGTTTATTATAAAATTATACAAGACTGGAACAAACCGACAAAGGCTGTCAGAATAAATCGTGACCACTAAGATCTAAGACTAAGATCAATGGAACATGTCGTTAATCAAAATGGGAAAAAGTAAACAACAAAATGTATGCAATAATTTTAATAAAAACTAAACTTTATTGCTACCCGTTATTGTCTTTAAAAAACCCTTAATTTAAATAAAATTACAAGAGACTAACAGAGTATCTTACCGATAAATGTATACCGATATAGGCCTAATGTACATTGTACTGTAGTACTGAGATAATGACTAACTCTCAACAAATTTAAAAAAAAAACATGAATACTCTGTTGAATTGTTGGTACAGCTTGTATTTCTTATCTGTACTTGAAATGAGAATAAATAAACTGTGAAGTAAATCCTGCTTTATACAGTACAGCCTTGCGATTCTGTAACTCACTTTTCTGATAAGGAGGGAGCTTGTAGTTTATTGTTTATCAGAATGCCAAATCGTAAAATGACTGCTTCACGACTGATTTGAGTGCGACCGCCGCTGTGAAAACCGCTGTGAGTGTTCGAAAAGTGAGTTACAGAATCGCAAGGCAGTTGTTCAAATGTCTTCGTAGTAATACAGTGTACATAAAAACAAGCAAACAAACAAAACATACCAGATGATGTATTTACCAACAAAAACAAAAATTCATTCAGACCGCATTACCTTAAGACTTTACAATAACTAAAAATACTAGTTTTGGATAACTTTTATTAAATTATTATACTTAAAACTTTAAAATCGTTTATAAAATCGCAAGGGTATCCTATTATTAATACTGCTAATAACTTTTAGCATCTTATTATACTTTTCATTTAAATAAAGTAAATACTTATTTACTACGAAATACTTTAATCATATTAATATATTACTGTCATTGTACTATTCTAACACCTAAACAGCCTAGAGTCGACGCATTTTAAAGTCGGGTTTTACCTGAGCACGAACTCTGACTCCTGATTGGTCATTACGAGTACGGATTGTTGTTTTTCTATAAATATAAGATGTGTTGTACACTCATTACATTACTTACGCTTCGTTAGCAATACGAACAGTATATACAGTTTATCTATGATTACGTCGAAACATTTTATCTTACAAATTAAAAACTTTTCTTTTCAAATAGCGAAACAATTATTCTCCTTAAGCAATGTGAGTGCGAGCGAGACAGACACATAAATATGATTTACGACCCGAAGCCTCAGTTCATATAGAGTCGACTTTAGTGCATTAATATCTTATTACCGTGATTCGTGCAATGCAACTATCTTATATGAATATATCCCACAGAAAATTATCTTTAGATATAGATAATACCACAAAAGTCACATTAATTATCTTAATAATAACTATCCCTTTCTAAAGAAGCTAATGATCGCCGTCAAACTCTCGTATGTGCCCGTGGTAAAGATGAAGATGCCCAAGAGGATGATGATACAGTTTTTGGTGATGAGGAAAGCGGAGAGTCGGTTCCTGTGTGCCTCGTGGACGAGTTGAATGAGAGGTGGAAACATCAACGCTAATGCTGTGCTGCTGATCGCTCCGACCAGAGAAATGAACAGCCCCAACTCTGGTATCGATTCAGCGACGATAACTGAAAAAATTGTTGGATAAATAAATTAGTTCTATAACTAAGATTTCAATATACAGCTCAACTTAGTACAAAAATACAATACTCACAAGTGAGGACGACTATCAGTGCTCTGTAGGCCAGTTCCTTAGCAACTAGACCGTTTGGACTCAAGCGCTTGCGCAGGCCTGGCCAGCTGATACATATCGGTACATAGAATTGAAGAGGATAAGTGAGGAGCATTGCCAGCGCTATTAATCCTTGCACCACGGAACTAATTCTGTGAGATAAAACAGATACATATACCTACTCGAAGTCATGAGGTAACGGCAACAACTTTCCTTCGTACGTGATTGAACCCAGGAATGTTTGGTTAAAGCGACAAAAGCGTTAACTACTAAAATAGAGGAGGTTCCAAGTGAACTAGTGTAGTTTATTTATTTATTAATACTTCAATCATAATAAAATTGACAAAATTAAATGAAAAAGGAGAGCAACTGGCGGCCTTAGTTTTTGTACGAGCAACGACTTAATTTTATTACAAATAATAATGTCATCAAACAATCGGTCTCATCTGGGACTTTTTGGTCTTAGATAATACATTAATTCAAAGCGATTCTTTCGCTTTGAATTATATCCAGATAAGGGAGCGTTCAAGTTTAACGTCACGCAATTTTTGAAGTTTATTAAACCCCCCCCCCCCATGTAATGCGCCGAAACGTTTTTCTGTACCCAATAGTAAAACGCTTCGTGACCACCAAAGTGACTCTTTCTTTATACCTAAAAGTTACCATTATGTGGTGTAAAGTACTGGATACCCGTATTCAATCCCCGCCCCGCATCGTAATGTTTTACAAAATGACCCACCCCCAAATTTCGTTTCGTAATATTGAACGCTCCCTAATTTAAAGCGTCATGCAAGTCAACTTACACTTTTCCCTGTGGTAAATTTAGTGTTAAGCTACCGGCTACATCCTCTCCCCATTTTAAGTATCCCAAGAATCCCATCGAGATGAACACGCATCCGACCGCAGCCATACCCACGTTAAGAACACCTAAGGGCTTCTGGAACTGCTCTGGTTTTCGCATTTCATTTTTCAAGGGTAAAACCTGAAATTGATCATTGATTACATATCACAAGTACCATTAGTCTGGTGTGACTCATTCCTCAATTTGTAATGCTACTAATATTATAAACGCGAAAGTTTGTAAGTATCGACGGATGTTTGTTACTCTTTCACGTAAAAACTACTGAATGGATTTTAGTGAACCTTTACCATAATACATCAGAATAACACATAGGCTAATATATAAAGATATTGTGTGAATTGTCCAAAATATCAAGCAAGTAGGAAAAAATCTACCACCTGCGAGCTATTCTAACGTGCGCTGCCAAAACTGCGAGAGTTGCACATATGTAATGTGATGGAAATGATTATCTTAAATAGTCCTATAAAAAAGCCCGCCACAGTATATATCTATATGTAGCCATTATGTGTAAGCCATTATTGCCAAAATTAACCATAACTACTATAAAATTTGATAATTTATTACAAATGCGCATTTAGTAGTAGTAAATTGATTCCCAAATCAAAATAAAGTATCTATTTTGAATTATTATTAATTTATCGCTTCTGGTATTTAAAGTAGAGAAAATATGTCTTTCACGCTACATCATTTTGACAAATATTATTTTAATTCTGCGCATCTAGTACAAAATAAAATCTTAGCAATTTATCTTTAACGACAACTTTGCTCTCTCGTCACCGTGTTTCGCAATTAATGTTCTTAAATGTTTATGTTATAACCCCACTCTGATCGGTTCGTTTGATACCATAAATAGACTATTACGACTTACCAAGCCAATACCCTCGAAGGCATAGATTGCAGTACCAAAATATAAGGGTAATTGTTGCCACTCCGCCAGGTAAGTCCTGGACTCCACGGATGGAAGGTCCTGTGCCGCTTCATACAACACAACTCCCACCCCAACTGCCATCAACACATTAGCAATCGTCGAGAATGGTGTCAGGTATTTAAGATTTCTCACCATACATGCAAGTAGTATGGGAAATATGACAAATATCATGTGAATCGATAGACTTATTTCCACTCCGTACTGGTCGCAAATCTGGAACCGATAATATCATTTCTTTTACTACGTAACAATACTGTTCACATCGTATCCCTAACTTTCGTACTAACTACTAACTGACGTGAGACTGATCTTAAATTAAATTATTATGATTCATGTGCGCTTTTTACTTTTCATTTTTCATGTATCCTTTATTAGTTTAGTTTGTTTTGTGTTCCTGTTCAGTTTTTTTTTTCATCTTAATAACGGTATGTAATATGTATTTTTGCACTTCTTGCCTACATTATCTAATTTAACACATTTATTTTTTCTCACAGTGCCTAGAAGAGATCGCTCGAAAGCGATAAGGCCGCCAGTTGCCCTCCTTTACATTTAATTATGTTACATTTTTATATTGTAATGCAACGAAGTGTAAATAAATAAATAAATAAAATATTTGAAACTTCCTAACACAATTCAGAAATAATATGTTTACTTACCATTTTAACGTTATTCCCTATGAAGACTATGTAGATGCAGCAGAAACCCAGTTGAGTGATGCATAGGAATGTATTGACCATGACACGCATTGTAGATGCTAGTGGTCGTAGTCTGACGGGGCCATATTTAAACACCAACGACACTGTATCAGCGAAACCCGGTGGCTTCGGTCGTTTTGTTTCCCTATACATTTCTTCTGAACAATTCAGCTGAAATACATTTATCGTTTTATATCATACTTAAGATTCAAATACACGTTCAAACTAATTCTGCCGTCTGTACTCAGTTTTATTTTAGTAAACTGAGATTTTCAGCGCACTCAATTACACGCATTACGCATATGTCCCACTAATGACCATAGGCCTCCTCTCTTAGGCGAGAGGGAATGGTCTGTAGTCCCCACGCTAGCCCAATGCCTATTGGAGACTTCACATTCATCCATAGAACATAATATCTCTTGGGCAGGGGCCCTCATAGGTCCTGCCACCCTATTATTACGCCACTGCGTCTGTCCATTGTATAAAGTTATACTTGGTTAACCTGTTTACCTACCTAATTCTTATACCAATTAATACAGGTATTTGTAACTTGCATATGTATGCATGAGAGTACGCAGTTTAATCTTACATGTAATTAAAAAATAATCTTCTTACACCGAGAGCAACACCTGATTACAAGGCCGAGTACGTGTATACCATGTTGAAATATGTTGAGATACTATTTTATCTGAAGTTAAAAGTCGTAAAGTACCAACCAATAAATGCTGTGCGTGCACGCAAATAATTCCAATGATAGCTGTCATGATAGGTGAAAAGATGATGCCGCCATTTTTGAAGGCGTCACCCATGGCCAGCAGACCAGATCCGATGTTACCGCGGAAAAGATGCAGCATTGTATCCAAATAACTGAAATATTTTTTTAAATTACGTTCCTGTAGGTGCGATAAAAACCTTAACTTATTACATGGAGACATAATAATCTAAGTTTGTCCCGTCTGAACTTCTTCGGACAAGCAAAAAAGCTGGGCCGGCCGTAGAGCAGGCAGAAAATAATAAACGGCACAAATATAAGAGTATTTTGTTCCCTTTGGAGTAGAGATGCTTGGGCCGTGGGGTTCAAGTGCACAGGCGCTTAATAAAGATTTAAGTTGGCGCCTAGTAGATAGTACCGGTGACCCCAGAGCTGGCACTTTTCTGGCTCAACGAATAAGTATAGCAATACAGCGAGGAAATGCTGCCAGCGTTAAAGGTACACTGCCACAGGGACCAAACTTTTTAAATTTGTGTTGATTTTCTTTTTAATAATTTTTATTATTACTTTTTAGCTTAAGAAAATTTGTAAATACTCAATGTATATGTATACTTGATTTTAAATAAAATAAAATAGGTATATATGCAGCAATAAAAATCGAGCCCACTGCTTATATACAAAAAAAAATTAAGTTTAGAAAATTCAATAAATTTCGATAAATAGTAGTCGGTCTACTTTTTAGAGATCTTATGGGAAGTCAACACCTATTAATTTGCATATTTGTTAAGAATTTTGTAAAAATTCCATCTATTTATGTACTGTTGATACCACGCAAGGGGTTTTATTATTGATTGACTTACGATGTCGGGTGCGATGCCTGATAGTGGCCATCGCTTTCGTCATTTTCCTTCCCACTTTCGAAATCTGACTGACTTTGTTCCTTCAAATAAATAACTTCCCGGGATCGGAAGGCTCCAACACCATTACTGTAACAATACAAACAGGATTGTGTAACCTATCACACTACTTATATCTACTATAATGCTCGACTCTGCAAAGTATTTTACCTTACGACCAGACAAATAATTTAGATTTTCAAATACTAATAATGATTTCCATAAATAGAGACGCAGTTTTAGTTTAGTTATAGTAGTTGTCCGCACCAATGCGTTCGCATAGAAACGTAAAGCACCCAAATATGTTACAATTGGCAGTATCACTCAGGAATAATATATGTTTTTAATTTATTTATAAGTTCTAAAATAGCTTGTATGTATAAAATTATTTAAGAAGATATGACATCACAAATTTTAGACTCAATAAATCTAATATATAAAATTCTCGTGTCACAATGATCGTTCCCATACTCCTCGGAAACGGCTCAACCGATTCTTATAAATTTTTTATGCATATTCAGTAAGTTTGAGAATCGGCTACTATCTAACTTTCAAACCACTAAATGTTAAGGGTGGTTCCACCCCAAAATTATTATTTTTATTTTTAGACAAAACTCTTTGTTTTATATTTTTTTATGATACAATATACAAAAATACATACAACCCTTAATTGTCACCCCTCTACGTTCAACCCCTATTTTTTGTTATAGTAGATAGTTATTTTTATTGAACTAAAACATGTGTCCTAGAAATACCATACATGGCAAAACGACGTTTGCCGGGTCAGCTAGTATCAATTATATTATAACATAAGCAAGCTATCAAGGGAAAAGAACTAAACAAGCAGCCACATAAATAACATAAATAAAAAAAAGGAATAATAACTAAAACTAAATGGAAACTTTACCCTCATTAAGAGCATGATAAACAAAGTTACGGTAATTTGGAAGATTGGTGTAAAATATATCAATATTTTCATCAATGTTAGTAATCAAGTTGTTAGAGCGAGATAGCCAATTCACTGGACCATTAATTATCCATTTACCATTAAACCATTAACCACCAGATAAGCGAGCCGTAGGTACGTATAGAAGACTTTTAGTTCTAGTAACTCTAGGATTACAAAGAAAGGAAAATTTTGCAAGAAGGTAAGTATGAGTATTAAAGTTAAATATTTAGTACAAATAAACTAGATCAATGAAGTCACGTCGGAGTTTTAGATTATCTAACTTGAAATGGATTCATTCTTAAAAGGCCGGCAACGCACTCGCGAGCATTGGCATTGAGAGTGTCCATGGGCGGAATTATCACTTAACATCAGATGAATCTCCTGCCCATTTGCCCCCTGTTCTAAAAAAAAACGTGTCTGTGTATGTACACGCGTTAGAAGTTATACATCTTTGGCGTAACAAGATAAAAATCTTATCAATAATATTATTCCACGTTTGTGTAAAAAATCGACACTAACAACAGAAAAAAAGGTATTTAATACATTGAAAGTTTTATTATAACGCATTATCTAGTTAAATAAAGTTTATTTAAATATCACAAAACAAATATTTCTACATACCTAATTAAAGAAATGATTTTTTTTTACTTTTGCATGCAAGTTATGAATATTGATGTTTACTATTTAAATCACGTCCATTGGTTGGAGTTCAGTAGACACGTGAGTTACAAGAGGCTTATGATAGCTAATGTATTATACAAATATTCTTGTAGAAACATTGTCTAAATATCGTACAGCATCAATAGTTGTATAAAAAAAACTAAAATGTTGACTATTTTTGATTGATGGTGTCGGTTTTTTGTGACGGTGTTCACGCGCATCGTAAAAATTTACTCTCATAATTTTTCCCTAACGCGCCAAAAGAATTATAGCTTAAAAAAATTGTTCCATAGAATATTCTTTAAACTTCACCTCTTTTAAAATAAGATTTTATTAAAATTGGTTAAAATCTCTCACTAATCCAAACATTAAAAGCGATTTAATATTATTATTTTAATGTTATTTCACTTTGAATAACAACTAGAATCGTTGGAAAAAATTTAAAGGCCATGAAATGTGATTAAAAAACGAATATAAAATTACAATATCTTTTCCTCTTTTTCAAAGAAGTATTGTTCTCTCAAAAAAATTATTTGATAAGGTTCGTGAGTAATTGTAATCCATTAAGGTCAGTAACTATTGCAGTAATAATTACGTAACATTTAAAATATAGAATGTTGTTATGGTCGACTCGTTGTTAAAAGTATTTCAATATAAATAAAATGAATGCGGTTTCTATGTAACATAATTTTAATTCACTAGAACCAAAATAAGACTGTGCACAATCTGAGTTATGCAATTCACAGTATTATCTAACATATTTGCATTTCATCTCTTTATAATTAAAATAATCATAATTAAGACTTATACTTTTATACATAATAATACTAAAAATGCAATGAAAATAACGAAATATTTAAAAGCGATACCAGCGATCGACATACGTTTATTATAAAAAATTTAATTAACCAAAGCAAGGCACGAGAATGTAAGAGCGTGCTCCTATTTCACCATGCCTCCTGCTGATAGAGGACAAATCTTTGTTTTTATTTATTTTATTATTATTTATTGCTACAGATGTCACGTGGAACATGGTGTAATGGTTGCAGCTCCTTACAAACGTTGTGTAATACAAAAAACTTGGCGATTAAAAAGAGTGACGGAGAGTTTATTCCCAGTTCTTCTCTTCCGTTCTACGCCCTTGATTTGAGAACTGGCAGTAAATGTAATAAATTTAATGTATATAATGTATATTTCTTTTTTGACGTTCATAAGTGTACATTGTGTTACCTACATGAATAAATATTTTTTGACTTTGACTTTGACTTTGGCATGTCAACAATTACTTCGCAAATTAAGCAACACGTGTATAAAACAATGCCAAGCGACCATTGTTACAATATATTTTCCTTAAAAAATTTAACATTAGCTAAAAACAAAAGACTGGCAATTTATAACTACTAATTAATATTCAACTGCTTATACAAAAAAATCTGTAGCAAATTCGCCTATAAGAACAAAAAAGGCATCTTTCTTTATCATTAGCAATTTACATGTTATTACCACAAATCGCAAAAACGCTTAAACACCATCAATATAAATATAATAAGTTCTGTTTAAATAATTAGCACTTTACACAAATGAATGTCTTGTTGCACTAAAACAAATGGTTTATGAATCTATTAATTTGTTTGTATGTCTTCCTGGGTCTTGAAAAGTAACTGGAGACAACGTTTCCCAGTCCAGCAGCAGCTGATGAGACTACATTTTGAAACGGTCTATTTTGAACTTGAAATCCTGGATTGAACTGCTGATATTGTTGCTGATTGCCATAATTCTGGGGAATGTATCCTGGTGCGTATCCCCCTTGAAAGTTTCCACCGTGACCCCCATGACTTTGACCTCCGTGGCCATGACCCCCGTGACTTTGACCTCCCTGACCATGGCCTCCGTGGCCGTGACCCCCGTGACTTTGACCTCCGTGACCATGGCCTCCATGTCCTTGGTTTCCATACTGGGGATAGACAGGCGCAACAGGTGCGGGAAATCCTCCGCAACCAAAGAAATAATTCGTGACCGGAGCTGATATATACGTGCTAGTGTAATCTTGGGAGCCAAACTTTTCACCCAGAGTCCGTCCGAAACATGGGTTATTCTGTTGCTTTTTTTTCTTTCTATGTTTTCTGCCAATATCGTCGTAGTCATCCAGTCCTATATCTTTAGAAGCCGGACTGTCGTCCGAGAAAACCACGACACAGCATTGCAGCAGAAGAAATATAATCGTCGATTTCTAAAAGCATATAAAAATATGTTAAATCCCAATCGTATCACTTAAACATACATTCAAATGTTTATTTTAAATGGTGAAGCACGAAAATCACACATTTAAATGAGACATGCAAATATTTGTGAGAATTCCGACGAAAAGACGTGTCCTATTGTCGTTTCAACGATTATCTGTTGACGAACATTTGTCATATTTTGAATCACGTCTTAATTACCGGATTCTCAAGTATTCTATGTAAGAATTTATTACGTCGTAATGAAACGTAAAAAGATAGACTCACCATTTTGCCGGCTGCCGCTAGTTGTGGTCACAAAGACACTAGTGTATCATATTGGGGGGTTTGGACCAAAAGTGAAAGTGTTGATCCTACGCAGAAGTAACGCAACACAATATTACAATATGGGGAATTTTATTAAGCAACGTAACCTCAAGGCCGAGACGTAGGTTCGTTGAAATAATAAACTTACGTTTTATTTAACAGCCTTAACTCTGATTCTATTTACTCGATGGACCCTTTGTGTATCGAAGCGTAAATACATAAATAGAACCTTCTTTCAAATAATAAGTGAAATACAATTTATTCATTGAATTATTTATACATTTGTTATATGTAAAACAACTGCTAAAATTAGACGTTGACCTTAAGCTCGTGTAAGTACGATATAATAGCAATTTATTTCTTCCCGTGCTTTCTTAATGATCAGTTTAATCCCAAGTAGTTAATATTTCTTTCTATGTGCGCATTTAACATTCGCTCGAACGGTGAAGGAAAACATCTTGAGGAAACCGACTTGTCTTAGACCCAAAAAGTCGACGGCGTGTGTCAGGCACTGGAGGCTGATAACCTACTTGCCTATTAGATTGAAAAATGATCATGAAACGGATTCAGAAATCTGAGGTCCAGACCTAAAAAGGTTGTAGCGCCATTGATTTATTTTTAAGTTAATATTATCCTGAACATTTATAAGTAGTCAAATTTAAACGGACTTAACATTATTGAACATTATCATTTGTTAGCTCGTGAATTCTTCATGAATTATATAAAAAATGAATAATTAAAAAGTCCATTAATCTATTGTTGCGGAGCATTAGCGTCGAATATAATTAATGAAATATATTTCATGCCATTCAATTTATTTGTCTTTGAGGAAATCCCCCAATTTCACGTGTCGTAAAACGGAAATTTGCGAGTGAAATACATGTTGCAATTAAAACATTGCACCGAAACGAGTATGTCTGTCTAACCCGTGTTTAGTAGTGTGTTTGTGTATTAGTGTATGTTTGTGTATGTCAATGAACTCTTCCAATGTTGGGTCTGTTTCCACAAAATGTTTTAGTTCGCTTAGATGGTGGTACGAGATATCCAAAGTATTTATTTATTTCGAACCAATTCGACTTAAGGTCCTTCAAAAAATGAGCGTACTTCTTTAAAGGCCGGCAATGCACACGCGAGCCCTGTGGCATGGAGAGTGTCCATGGGCGGTGGTATCACTTAACATCAGATGAGCCTCTTGCTCGCTTGCCCCCTGTTCTATTAAAAAATATGCATAATCAGTAGCCCTATTGCGACAAATATCTATGAAACATATTCCACGAGTGAACTATCAAAAGTTCTATTATTTCTTAGTGCCAATAGTAGTTAGTTAATATCTTGTATATTTTATGTGATTTTGTTTTTCCTAATTAATTTCATGTTTGCTTTTATTCACTTATTGTGCTCTCTTTTCAATTTAGGGTCGCCGGTTAGGGCAGGAGTGTTTTTATAAATAAAAAAATAAAAAATGTGCCCATGACCGCAGTGTCAAACGTAAAGACCCGTAGGGTTTCATTACTACGATAGTTTTCATGATACTCACTTCAACCTCGTGAATGCTATGAATAACATCGCGCGTTTTTATATAAACATATTTTTATACATATATAGTCAATATATACAGATGACAATTTATACTTCTAGCATTACATCATAAGTAAAGTAGACATATTACAGAAATGACTTGACACATATCAAACCACCAGATTTTCTTACTCTACATAAATAAAATTATATTAAATATTTCTGTTTTTGCTGCAAAATTATATACAGGAAATGTGATACATAAAAATCTTTTACTCAGGAACCTTTTTTAAATCAACAAATTTTAGTTAAATGACTTTGGTCCAATCAAAATGATTTTTTTATAAGTAACATTATATTAATGTATAGCTTAGTTTAGACACTATAATCTATTCTATATTACTAATTAAAATTCTTCTAATTCATATAAGTAACTTGATAGAAAATGAGAGAACGGGTGATCCCCAATATTTTTATTAAGAACGTAAGCAAATATATTTCGTTATGTATAGTTAAAAAACATTTACATGTTACGAATGGTATATGAACCTTAACTCGGAATATGTAAGTATTTGCAGTGTTCAGAATGTGTAATAGCTGAACACTCGTTATTCTAGAAGAATTGTATTTGAAATTGTAAAATGGCCAGCCACCCCTATGTAGAAAAGCAGCAGAGCGCTCTTAATATATAACTGACTTAGCATACAATACGTACCATCCGCCGAGCGATGTTGTGCTGCCACTGATGTGGCTTACTCCCACTTGCTCCTTTTTCATCTGTTAACGAAAGTTCAAAAATTAGCACTTTTTACTTCTGTGCCACCTGTCAGGTTCAAGTGTGTTTACTATCTCAATTTCAATTCATTTATTCATCTAGGTAACACATATTAACGTCAATAAAGAAATACATATTAAATTCTTCTAATTTTACATTTACTGCCAGTTCTCAAATCAAGGGCATAGAACGGACGAGAAGAACTTTCAATAAACTCTTCGCCACTCTTTTTAATCGCCAAGTTTTTTGTTTTACACAATGTTTGTAAGGAGCAAACATGGATATCAATTTTTTTATTAATTTAAGTACATTTCACGCAAATAAGCCAGCTGTAGTTTTAGAATATTTCGTAAAAAACTGAAGTTTTGCTTACAACAAAAGAAGATCTCGGATGAGAAGTAAAGCTTTCAAATGAAATTAATATCCTCCATAGATCATATAAAAAGTAATGATTAAACTACTAAATGAAGGTATTTAATAGTTTGAAGCAAAGAACGTCGCTTCAACTCACTGTTGACCAACGGATTGGACAAAGGAAATTACATAAATATTAATAACTGGTCTGGCCATAAGTTCTGTTAGAAATGAAAAAGCATTTTTTTCAATGTCTTATCAAGGTGTCACAAAACTTCATTTTTGTGATAAAGGAGTGAAAACTTCAGCCAAAGTGTGTCAAGGTCATGTTGTGAAACCTCTCATCACTTTTTAAAAAAAACCGTAGACATGGACATGGCCTGCTCTAAAAGACACGGCGACATTGAGTCTCTTAAAAAATATATAGAGCAAGCAGTGGCGAAATTTCCCTTGGAAACAGTGCGTATATCCATAGATTCGTGGCCAAACAGATTAAAGGCCAAAGGTGGCCTATAATAAACATTTAGATAAACATTTTAATAATTTATCATTACTTCGTTAAAAATTAAATGCATTTTCATTTGTAACAGAACTTATGGCTGGACCACCTGGTCCTGGTACAAACACCCACTATTGTTGTCTTAAGAAATTTTCAGAACAGAAAATACGATGTGAGGGTAGCAACCTGTTTATTTAGAAATATAGGATTTTTAAGTATTAGTTTTTTTTGTGCAGAAAATGTTTTTTTTTTAAATTGCAGATAACGATTTAACTCGATGCTCGGTGACGTAATGTAATGTTCGTAGACGCAAAATTGAATACATTAACTTAATCTTCTCGGGTGTATGGCATTGTTGAGTGGACATTTCCTTTATTTAAGCGAATTATTGCGTACTCGACGTAACTGGAATAGGGGGCGACACGCGAATATACAGTGTACACGTGGGAAAATATCACGTGTTTATTTCGCTTCGTTAGAAATAATTATTGGCTAAAGTGGTGATAACTGACACATAAGTGAATTACATTAAAACACGAATCGGTTGAAAAATAAAATATGCACCGGTAGAAAATGTTAGTTTATTTATTATATAATATTATTTTATTTATATTTGTTAAAAACAAATTTTGAACTGGATACAATTACTGGACTTAAATAAAATGCTAAACAAGTAAATATAAAATTTTTAACTTCTGCTTAAAATGTAAGTAATACATTTAAAAATTCCTAAGAAATCAGAAAACAGTTTTACGATTCCGTGCGTACGCTGGCAGTTTAATCAATTTTATCCGTGTAGGCTGTAATAGCTTCGGCAACTATTCTATCTTTGAATGAATTTACATAAACAAATTAAATATCTATTTTGTTTGTCAAATTAACTACGTAGATATTATTTGTGTATAATTTTCACTTCAATGTTTTTCAAAGAAAAAATAAGTAGATTATCTTAATATATATATTTCTTCTGTGCGTGTGTATGTGACTCCTCTCAAACGACTGGACCGATTTTGATGAAATTTTTTGTGTGTGTTCAAGGGGATCTGGGAATGGTTTAGATTCACAAATCAGCCCGGCAGATGGCACTGCAGTCGGTACTTTCATACTTTGCTTAATATCCTAATCGCTTTAAATATCATGCAGGACAACGTCTGTGGGGTCCACTAGTGAATAAATAAAAATAGAACGTTTTAAAACATTGACCATTTAATACGTTTTACTCGAATCTTTAGAGGAGGCCTTTGTCGACAGACAAGCTGTTTCAGACAAACATCCAGTTGCCGAACATACAATGATTAAACCAATTTAATTTAGTTAGTACTTCGAAAGTAATTTAAATATAATTTAGTAGAAAAGTATTTAGAAAGTAATTATGTTAGGCATGTATAATTAATAATTAATGTGTATTATTGTAAGATAGAAACAGCAATAAAGGCTATTTTATTATTTATTTATTCGAATTGCGATTTTGTCTCTATCTTGCAATTTTTCATTAGAAAGCGTTGGAATGATTAAGTATTTTACAGATTGTATAATTTCTATGTTACTAGCATTATCAAGACAGCTGTTTTCCACAAAAACTTTATTGTTTTTAGTTAATAAGTATCATTCAGTAAGCAATGCCGTAAGTGATCTTTTATAATTACAGATCACGGCTTTGATATTTATGATCCATTGTTAGTGATTCATCACTGTTAATATGTGCACAATAACTTTAAATTGGTTTGTAAAGAATTTTAGGAAGCCGCTATCTAAAACTTGATTTTTAATAAGAATTTATAAACACATCCAACAATGTGAAACAAACAGACGTGGACA